GTCTAGAGCATCCATATCGATGTTATCTCTCAGGCTTCCCAGGGTAGACGCTGTCCTCACACTCGCCGTCTCCGCGATAGGAGTTTCTGTCGCAACAGGTTTGCGAGCAATTGGCTTATGCAATGGTGGGTTTTGAGTGCCATCCTGCTGCTTTATCGGAGACCGTCCTTCAGTTGGTGTACCAGTAAGGTTGGTATCGACTCCGACGTTTACGTTGCTTGTAGTATCGCTAGGCGTTATAGGGCTCCCCTGAGAGTAATTCGAGCTAGACGCACCAATGCTGTTAAGGCGGTTAAGCGTTGGACCTCGGGGATCAGCTCGTTGCCCCGTTCCTCTATCGGTCTCATTATTATTATTATTATCCTTGGCTGCGTTCCAAGCAGCGGTAGCACCCGCGACTGCGAGGCCATGTGCGTTGCCATTTTTCTTATTCATGTCCACCAACTGATCTAGCGTACCAACCGACATACGGTTCGCAGCATGGCCAATCTCTGGAGATGGCTGGGGTTTGAACTGAGGCGTCCCCCGAGGATCATGCGAGAAAGCAGGTGATACTGGCACACCCTGCGGGGGTGGGTTAGGCTCCAAGCTCTGTATAATTTCCAGACGGTCAACAGGGCGATTGTTGTCCATGTAAGCGCCGCTGTCGGGAGAGCTGCGGCTATCGGTTCCATCAATTTCTGAGGGTCCATCTGCTTGAGGGAGTTCTGGGGGTGGTGTGGGTGGGTGTTCTGGAATGTCTTCTCCGATATGGTTCTCGAAAAATGGCGGACTACGGCGGCCACGGCGGGCAGATGGAAGACCAGTATTATCAGACTCTGAGCGGGTATGGGATATTCCAGGTTTTGTTGGTGAGTTGGAAGCCACAGTATCGGACGAGCTATTAGGCTCGCCATTCCTCGGCCCAACTGTCGCACTACCAAAACGCACCGTGCCGGTACGTTGAGGTAGGCTGCTGCGTTTCCCGCTACGATGGCCTGATACACTGCTAGTCCTACTACTGCCAGCATTTGACGTCATTCGACGTGATGTTGCATCCTTCAGCTGCTTTCTCCATTCTCGGGCGCTCCAACTGTCACTCCCCTGAGTATGAATGAGTGCGGAGACATCAAGGATATCAAGGTACCCCCTGCGCTTATTACTAGGCATAGCAAACATCAAGCTGTTGGGGCTAACAGTATCAGCCAGCAAACGATTAGGGCGCCCGTAAAGACGGAAAGCATCATAGGCCGGGAATAACCAGCGAATCATTGTTTCGAATCCGGAGACGGCATTGTGCATTTCTGGGAGCACAAAGACGAAGCCCTCCGATGTGTTCTCTCCAATGGTGACCAGACCTTCGACCTTAACAAGCGTGGACTGGTCTACGAGGGGCCGGGCCTGTGGATATATGGCGTACGCAGAGTAAGCGTCGGAAATGGTCGCGATGGGGGCTACCTTCTTGCTAGTCTTCCTTGTCTCGTAGAATTTGATGTTCCCTTTGGGAGGTGTGGGTGCTCGATCGTAAGCGGATTTCTTCTTAAGAGAGCGGTTGTACAGTTGCATCTCTTTCTCTCCCGGAGGAGAGATGACGCACCAACATCTTCTCCAGGGCGTACCAGCACCAAATCGAACTCTGGCCCAATCCTCATATTTGAAAGTTGTCTTCTCAAGGACAAGTTTTATTCCGTTGAGATACTTGCCCTTACCAGCAATAAGGGCGCCGGTGTAAGATTCATGGAGAAGCGAGTTTTCGAATACAGTCAATCGCATTGCGGCCGTCCACTGAGTGAGAGAATGCAATGAATCAAAATGGAGAAGATACCTATTCTTCCCCGCCGTGCTGATGCTGACAACATTCTGTAGGGGCTGATTGGTTTCATTGTTGGTAGGGAGTGTTTCCATCTACTAGCCCGTTAGCCGGTCATTCCCGGTTGAGTAATAGGAAGTAAACATCTCACCATTTTGATAGTAGCATCAGCCAAATTGATGAAGCTGGGAGATGCATTTGCCTGTCCCCCGGCCGTATCTAGTGCAGATGCGTTCCAAATTGAAAGCACTGTTCCGACCAGCTGTCCAAAGCACTCCACCCACTGCCTATCAGTGCATGCGCGTCCTTCTATAGGGAGGAATTAGTATATCAGGCCTTTATAATTGGGGTGAGGGAGGGGAAGGTGAAAAGCATACGGGTATCCAAATCATTAAGCTTCAGGAAATATCCCTCTTGGTATAGCTTGTTTGCCTGGTTATTCAAGTAGGCGAAGACAGGCTCCAGCTCCGGGACAACGAGGGGCTCTGCATCATATGGAGGCGAGGAAGGCGCTGTCTGGCTCTCGCTCTGGCTTTGGCTCTGACTCTGACTTTGACTCTGGCTCTGGCTTTGATTCCGGTCATCACTCTCACTCTGTGCGGACTTCTGAGCCCAGAGAGAGGCTATAGGCCTGCTTAACCTGCGTGTGCGTCTCATGAACGGGGAGGTAGATGTCTGTTGCTCCTGATCCGGAGCCGGTCCAGCCCCAGCTGCTGGGGGCTTGTTCGAGGGTGCTTGGGCTAAGGCTCCAGGAAGGTCTGGCGAGGAGAAGGACACTGATGCTGCAGCAGTTTTACCCTTCGGGCCATCGGGACGAGAGGAAAGAAACGACGGGACTATGAAGGGAGTTAGCTGGCTGCCAGAAGAATGTGGTATCTGGGTGGCCTTGGCCGAGCAGAGCGAAAATAGTACAACCGACCTCTTAAGCGCCCCATGGTGTGAGCAATTGAAAGTCCGCGGTGAGGTAAGAACCTTTCTAGCGAGCAAGAGAGCCGCCCGGCGTGGCAACTGAAAACTGCCAGAAGAGGTGGTGTCTATGGGCTTCGTTCAGCAGCCATGTGTAAATAAAAGCGAAGAGGGAAGCGGGCGGTTAGGACGGGGAGTTGTGGAAGCGCCGGGAGAGAAGAGAGCTCGAGAGATAACTAATTTCTCCCACGACTTGCGACGAAACAGACGAAGCAGCAGCAGCAGGAGGAGGAGAGAGAGGTCTCCTCCGGGCAGGATAGGAGGTGAGAGGGCCAAAAGGGCGCTGTGGAAAGGGCTCGTTGGTCTGGTGCTCTGTGTCTACAGGAGAGTGTGATCCATGGCGCAGCCGGAGTTAGTTATTTTGACAGCAAGCAGCGCAGGCCCAGGTGATGACGGTAAAATAATAGTTAAACTAGCGCTTGAGCTTAAGTAAATAAGGTCGCAGCGAGCTCTTGAGCCTAGCGTCGGCTGATCCAAGCCAGCGTCGGTCGGGGCGGTTGGGTTGCTTGAGGCCGAGAGATGGAGGTTGGTGAAAAGTGGAAGAAGAAGAAGAAGATGAAGATGAAGATGAGGTTTGGAGGAGTGGCCGAAAAGGGAAGACAGCCCAGACTGGCCTCAAAAGTCGCCCGTCACGCCCAACCCAGCGCCGGCCGCACCGCAGACCAACCCTGTATTACAGGCAGGATACACTTGACGCCGTGCAGCTGAGCCGGCCGAATTACGCTTCTGGCTCCGCAGGACGAGCGAGGATACGGGGCCCTTGCCTTGTCAGCTTCTTAACGCCTGTCCGGGGGCGCGCGCGAGAGAGGCAGCGAGAGGGTCTCTTCCTCCGCTGGTTCCGCCGCCGCCTCCACCGCCAGCCACACTCTCGTTCACACTATAAGTGCTAAGGAGAGTACAGGGCTAGCAGCAGCGCAGGGCGAGCAAGGTAGGTCGCCTGGGCGCCCTCGCTCTGCTCTGCCTCTTCCCTTGGTCCCGCAGGCGCTAACTCTGATAACTAACCTATAAGTACAGACTCCGTACATATGCTGATATGCTGGCTTAACTACAAAACTCAATCATCACCTGGGAGGAAAAAGGAAAGAAACACACGCAGGTCAAGGTCAAGGTCAAGCGAGAATGATATCTTCTTAGCTAGGACGGCGAGCAGAAACCATGTCTCAGACCGCGCTCAACAGCACCCTGACCCGGAACAGCGTCGTACAGCTCGCAGTCAGACAAGGAAAAGAAAAGAAGAATAAGAAAATTGCCCAAAGACGGATAGGGAGCACCGCCCGCTCTGGCATCGCAACCAGCTCTGGCGCTGGCACTGGCGCTGCACCGAACGAGTTCATGGCATGATTGTCGAACTGGCCCTCCCTTCCCCCCTGCACTGCGTTCTCTGGCTGGGTCAAGGGGGCGGACGGCTCTCACCTCTGATTGACTGCTCCGTACGAGGGAGAATTAAAGATGGCAACCCTGAGAGCGAGTTTTCTTGCTCAATACTCCGTACTTCATGACGAGAAAGCCACCTATCCACTTTATATATAAGTCTAAAGCGCCCAGTTGGTTAGCGTGCTAGTTAAGAGTGCGCTGGCTGGTCCACCTTTTCCCCAGCGCCTCCAGCCCTTCTCCGGGTTGAAACACCTGATCCTTCCATATTCCATAGTATTCCACATCGGTGGTGTGTGCCATAAATATCACACACACGCACACACACACACACATCCATGGCATGTGGGAAGGCGTGCGATCGCGAGCCTGGTGACGCGTTCTCAACTCTGCTCTGTCTATGGATTATCTCCCTGTGCGCTTTTGGCCCAACTCCCGCCTAGACCGCCGGTTTAACCAGCAATTGGACTGGATCTGACAGACCCGGCCTTAGTGAACTAACTCCAGATGGAGCTTAGCAGCCAATTGCCATCAGGGTATCCATACCCATGCTCGAGCAGGGTCCGACCCCGTCCGGCCAAAGAGCTCAACGTTGTGCTCGATGGGGATGACATTGGCTAACCAGTGTTATACAGGCGGATGCATGTGCGACAGCCGTCGATGCAAATCGCGTGGAATTTGTCTTCGTACCAGTTGAAATGTCGTCCCGAAAGGGCTAGAATGCGATACGTTCGATCGACGCTCTCTCCCTCTCTCTCTCCCTCTCTCCCTGGTCGAATGGCCTTCCCCACGGCCCAAAGGCCAACTGGATGGGGAAAAACGGAGGGGTCGAAACAAAGACGAAACGTCGGTGAAGAGTTTGTGCAGATAACTATCATGATATGACAAAGACGGCGGAGTACGCAAGAAAGATACAAGAGCTATGATGATGATCTTTTAGCATTTCATTGTCGGTGCTGATTACGTAGGTAATCTCTCCTTGTGGCTTCTCGATGTCGATCCTTGTGGCATCGGTCGGTACCAACACGATGGAAGAAGCAAAGACGAGATCTTCAACCTTACAATCAATATTAATAAGGAATCGAGTAACCAAGGGAAGCAAGGAAGCAAGGAAGAAAGCAAACAATTGATCGGCTGTTTGCATCGTGGCAACTGCAAGAATGATGACAGACCGATACGCTGCTATCTCTTTCCATTGAACGAACCCATTGAATCATAGTCATTATTCGCTTTATTCATTTCTCATTATATCGCCATTATATATAAGGACAAAACCTTCTTCTATCGATCAGCCTTCCGAGCTAGGCCAGGCTCCTCCTTGACAACAAAGCATAGCATGCGACTATACCGTACGGAGTATTATTACATGGGTTGGACGGGACAGGTCCCCAGAGATATATACACCCCGTACTTGGGGGAGGGTGGACTCGCGTAGCCGATATACGGAGTACTGTTTCTCTCACGACTCCAGGCAAGTGTACGTCAGAAGCGGGTCAACAAGGTCGCCCAACCCGCCTGAACGATCGTCCTTGCCCCGTTCCTGGACATCGTCGTGGCTTGCCATGATCTCATCGACACTAGCATCGGGTCGCAAATATGTATATCTGCCCTCCAGATCGTCGATAAGGCCGCTGCTGCCACTACCACCACCACCAGTAGTAGCGCCAATCTCGTCGACGCCCATCCCAATCGTGTCCATCTCATACTGGAATGAAGGTCTGTCAAAGCTCTCGTTCCCGCCCTGCATGGCTCGCTGCATAAAAAGAAGCTGGATTTCATTCTCATCCATTCCGTGTTTTGCGTCCATGTGCAGCCAGAGATCATAGTCCCGGTAGAATCTATGCTCGCACTCAGCTAGTAGACACGGTATATGCCGATTACCTGACTCCTCAGCGTACCCTTGGCCTGTAAGCAGAGCGACGTTAGATGGGCCAGTACGCTTTGACCCAGATTCCAATGTGTTGGTAGCCGTAAGAGTACCAGCTCTGGCCTTCCTCTCGGCCCTCGCATTCCGAAATCCCATATGTGCTGTCCTCACATGTTCTTCCAGAGCAAGCTTACTTCCATACCTCTTCCCGCAAGCATCCATCCCATTCCACCCGCCCACTTTCTTAGACGTGGAGAGGTCGGTCTCGCCGCAGGCAAAGCGCTTCTCGCCCTCGTGCACCGTCTTGACATGGACGTTGAGATTGCCTTTTTTCGTAAAACTGCGTTCACACCCTGGGTGCTGACAGGGATAGGTCCGACGATCCTCCACAGACACTGTCCCATGAGAAATCTCCATGTGCCGACGTAGGGCCTTTGCCGACGAGCATATATGGGCACAGCTAGGACAGGTCGGAGGATGTACGGAGCGCATGTGTGATTGTAGCAGGGCATAGGTTGCGAAGTTATATGCCTTTCCCTCTCCCGTTCCTTCTTCATTCCCTGCATTGCCAATGCACTCCGTGCAAGTAAACCGTGCCTCTCCATGTACCCTGCTTTCGTGGGCCTTCAGGTGGCCTGCCGTATCAAATGCAGCAGTACAAGTCTCACCTGAATCAAGTGTAGCTTGGCAGGGAAACGGCCTCTTCTTCAGGTGAGCGGTCATGACATGCTTCAACAAAGTGGAATGTTTCCTGAATGACTCTCCGCACTGTTTCCCACTCCCTTCTGCTATTTCAGTGCATGTGTATTTATCCCGCCCTTCATGGGCTGCAAGGTGCCTCCTAAGCCTTGACCCTGTAGCGAACGCCTTTCCGCACCCTTCACGCTCACATACATAGTCTCTTATAAGGGTATGCGCGCTCTTGATATGATGATTGAGATGAGAGGCTCGAAGAAAGCTCTTTTCGCATCCTTCGTAGGTACAGGCGAAGATCCGGTCGTTGGTATGCGAACGTATATGCTCAGTAAGCCGCGCCGGGCGGTTGAAAGCCTTGTCACAGCCGGAGTAAGGACAGAGGTGAGTCTTCAGCTCAGATGGGTATTTCGAGGAAGCAGGTGAAAAGGGCGTCAATGGTGTCGCATGCAGTTCATCATCCGAGCATACCATCTCGTCAACGACGGAAGAGGAATCACAATTGGCGTCGGAATCGTGTATTTCATCTTGGCCTGACAGCGTTAACGGTTGAATTCCACAGCCATAATGCGGCGGTGGTAGCATACCTGCCGGTTCAGATAGATGTATCCTCTTCAGCTGCCTCCGAGCTTCCTCGGCTGCCTTTCGTTTGGTTGCGGTCATTATGGATTGTCTCAAAACGCAGGCATTTCCACCGTGAAGATAGCTAGAAACACAGCATGGCAGAGACCATACGCCCAGCTAAGTTCATCAGAACCAGAAATAAGCCTCCTTTCCTCAAGAAGGCCCCCAAGCCGGACGTTGTAGCGTTGATGGTTTTGGCTTCTTCGCTTTGTGTGTTTTTCTCGTTCTATCAAAAATTGATTTAAGGTGTTGAAATCTTGGCATGCCAAGCATTTTTATTTTTTTTCCCATCTTCTTCCTCTCGACGTCGCAGAAAGGGAGAAACACCATCAACACCGCGCGCAAGGAAAGGATCGCACAGTCCAAGCTATATAAATAGCTCGTTTGTACTTCTCGCATCCATATTTTCCTGCTGATACCTTCAAGATGTCTGACTTTGGCGGAGATGACCATGACGACCGCGAGGAGACTGGGTAAGCCAACCCCATCAACCCTATCGCAAATTTCATGCGCGGACCCGGGCTAATACCTCCCTAGCCTCGACTATGAGCCAGCTGAAGACTTCTATGATGATACTGCGGTTGATGACTATGCGGTGGATGACCAGCAAGAAGAAGGTTATGCGGTGCTGAACGGTGATGGACAGCCTGTCACTACCAACGGAGAGAACGGCGACCCAAATGCCTCCTCTGGCCAGGGACAAGGGAAAACAATACTGCAGCAACGTGAGAAGAAAGTTGCCAATGATCAGCGGACAACAACACCATACATGACCAAGTATGAACGGGCCAGAGTACTAGGCACCCGTGCGCTACAGATTAGGTGAGCTACTGAAGCTCTAGGGAAAAGCGCCTCTTGGTAAATTACTTACTAATGCACGGTGAACAGCATGAATGCTCCTATCCTTGTCGATTTGGAGGGCGAGACCGATCCACTCCAAATTGCTCTTAAAGAGCTCAATCAGAAGAAAATCCCACTAATTATCAGGAGGTATCTTCCAGACGGATGGTTAGTACTTCCATAGGATATCATCCAAATGATGTCGATCTAACATCATTTCTAGGTACGAGGACTGGACATGTGAAGAACTTCTCTGAAGTTGCCGTGGCTATCTCCTGTGTGTACTCATGCTAGTCTAATACCTCAAGCAATGTAACTTGAGACTAGCAGTTTTTGCTCTTTTGCATAGCGTATGGGGTTCGGTTTTCTCTCAGATTTTTCTTCCTGTTTTTCCTTAACTTGTCAGTATAAACTAGGAAAATGATAGACAGCAAGTTGCAACTCATCTGGACACACTTGCTGGCCTCGCAGCCTCCACCCAGCATTCTGGAAATAGGCAACCAAGGGCAAGCATTCCCTCCCCCTGCTATGACTCACGAGAAAGCCATTGAGAAGATATATCACAGATATATCACAGGAGGCGCATATGCATGTGCCAAAAGAACAGAATAGCCAGGGGTTCAGTGGATTAGACATGCCATTTAGCAGGGGGTAATGTATTATAGCCCCCTCCCCCTCACCACACATAAATAGACGAGCTTTTCTCTCTTTCTAGGGAGTTTATACAGCATAACAGATTTGAGAGCAGAAAGAATAACAAGTATTTACACCTAACACAAAGTACTGAATGCCCTCCCGACTTTATTGACATCTCCCTTCTAAGCTAACAGTTTGTTGACAACACCATGTGTGTATATATACGCTTCACATATTCCCTCATGATATGCCGTGCGGATCCCAAGCACCTGTTTGAAAATTGCAAACGAGTGGGCTACTTTGAAGGTGATATCGGCACTGATGGACTGCCTGTCCCCGACCCATGTCCGAACCCAAAGACGGGAGTTGGTCGAGCACGAATGTATGCCGAAGCAACTCATGATCCTGACATGGGCTTTGGAGCTCGAGTAGACGCAAAGACGTCCATGTAACTTGCCTGAAGTGCCTACAGCTGGGGCTTTACATTCAAAGAGCGACGGCTCAGCAGCCCTAAAGGAATACCTTCAACTTGCACAAGTTGTGATTTTTAACTCCTCAGATGTCAATTTCAATTCCCAGCCTATCATATTTTTAATTTTATTTATAAAAATAAAAGCCCACGATATAAATATTACATTATATTTTTAGATTAATTAATTAGCAATCCTCTTGATTGAGAAATAAGGGAAAAAAAAAAGAATTGATACGACCACGATGCGATTCGAACGCACATCCTTCGGAGGTATACACCCTTGCTTTCAAGGAGAACCGAAATCCGACGCCCTAACCATTAGGCCACGCGGCCCCTTGTATAAACAAGAAATCCTAATTACTTAGTTAATCCTCTTTCCCAATATGTTAATTATCCACATATTCATAAGCACCCTAATATAATAATAGAACTAATCCATATTGATATATACGGAGTAAATACAGTATTTTTATTCTATGGCTTGGTACAACACGGCTATTTGCCAATATCCAATAGGAACACAACGAGAGAGAGCCATATATTGATGAATCTAGGAATAGGTTCTTCTCGTGTATGTTTGAATGCTAGTTATGCCCATTGGATATTAGTCTGAGACTTAATAATGGAATGGGTAAACCAGATTTGCATAGTAACTGATATCTCAAGACCGCCGTATACATAGGTAACTTAACTGTGGGCCAGGGCCCTGCAAGAGTCACGTGTCTGTATTGGTGCCTGGACAGTTCTCAGCCATCAAATTGCACAAGATCTCACTATCACCACCATCTGACTACTGTATAACTACTGACTGGCTGCCATTCTTCGTTTATTACTCTCAGCATGGAGAGAATTGCGTTGGAAGCAACTGCCGCCATTGATAAGACCGAAAGGCTGACGGTTATCAAACAGCCCTTCCCTGAGGCTAGACACGAGGTTACTTTTGAGCGGCAGGTATATGAGAGATTGGGAGCACATCCACGAATTGCAAGATATATCCGTCCTCTAAGCCACACATTTGAGATGGAATATTACCAGCTTGGCTGCATAGACCAAGCAAGACATAAAATCGAATCCAAGATACCGTACCTTAAATGGGCCGAGCAGATCGCAGAAGGTCTAGTTTTTGTACACAGCAAGGGCGTCGTCCACTGCGACCTACGGTCGCCCAACATACTGGTCACCGATACGCTCGATGTAGTCCTAGCCGACTTTGCCTCGAGCTCAATGGACGGAGTTAGGGTATCCAATGTGTACAACAAAACTAGATACCGGCCGCCCAGCTTTGATGAGTATAAGTACGAAAGCTACCAATATACCATTCAGGATGACATATTTGCATTTGGTAGTGTGATATACAGCCTCGTTACAGCTGAAGACCCATACAAAGAGCGAACAGATGACGAAGTTATTAAGCTGTATACTGCAGGTACCTTCCCAGATACCTCGGGATGGACTATAGGTGCGGTGACTACCAAGTGCTGGCGTGGTGAATACTCTGATGCAGCTGAAGTGCTTGAAGACATTCGTTAGTAACAATGTGCCACAATGTTTCGACACTCCCTACTGATCCATTTTATTACTTCTCTTTCTAGGACACCTGCGCTTCGAAGCCTCCTTAGAGCAACATTGCCTAGTCTACTTTAGGTTTCCTTTTCGTATCCTTCGGAACATAAGGCCCCCGGACTGGTGTATACTCTTTAACCAGAAGCTATGGAAATTTTTATCATTTTTTATGGGAGCTCGTTGATTTGGCGGGATGGCAAAAATTAAATCGCAGGTAAACAAATCTCCCCCGAATCCTCGGTATGACAAGTAGCTCATGGTATATACGACATATAGAGATATATAGAGGACTGTTGTAGATATCAGGATTCGACACTTCACACTCCGCTTCCAAGTGACGATAACACTGCAAGCATCGACCGCTTAGAACGGGTGCAGATAATTCCTTTTGTAACGGGGATCAACAACCTACGCCGTGATCATATACGCCAGCACGTCTCGACCAAGAAGTAATCTTACGGCATCAGTCATCTTTGAATCACAACCCCCTCGTATTTCTATGCATGGCGTCGAAATCGAATGTCTCAGGGTGTCAGATATCCAGTTAGTTATGAGGTATCTTTCTTTCGGCAGCACCTTCGGCATCACCATGAACTCAATATCCACGCATCAGCAAAACACTGTTAGTACGGAGTAACTCTCCTTTGCAATGTTATATTCGCCTTTCCAAACGCATGACAAACCTGTTCACGAGCGGGACCAACGATATCCCTAGCTTCGAGATTCGGTTCAATTACTAATAAAATCGACGAACAGTTCCGGCCTTGCCGTCACACTGCCGAAGCCAATGCCGCTGCTTTTTCGCCGTTCCTCTTCCCGCCCCACTGGATCCGTCAATGCTGCGGACTTTCCGCCATGCAATAGGAGGAATCACCGCCAATAATGCCGTATACCGCATGGCCTTCCCGTGTGCTTGTCCGGTGCTAAGTGGGCGAAGACCCGACTAAACACCTGTTTCTACAGAGTAGCGTTTGCTGGATTAATCAGGCTCAGCTTTATTCGGTGCCGAACGGCTATTTCACATTTTTTTCAATCGCCTTGTCTCTCCACTCCGTTTCCACTCTCCCGTTTATATATTATCCAAGATGGAATCCCATTATTTGCGCTTGGAGGATACCACGTACTTTCTCCCTTGTTTCTCTATATTCGCCATCCTCATTCGTGAGAATGGTTGATCTTGAGAAGGATGGGAAAGGCCAAACTTCCTCTTTAGGAATCGGGGGTGGAAGCGTTGTAGCTTCTTCCACCACCTTGCCCGGAGAGAATAACGATGTCGACGATGCCGGCTATGCCAACAATGAACACTCTTATGACAGTGGCTGGACCGCGTGGTCCCAAGTCCTAGCCTCCTTTTTCCTCTTCTTTAACACATGGTATGATAGCATCCATAGCTACACGACGCAGGCAAAGAACCTTAAAGGGCTAACATTTCACATAGGGGAGTTGTCACCGCGTTTGGTGTATTCCAAACGTACTATGAACATAACCTGCTTGACCACTTATCACCCTCAACCATTTCCTGGATCGGTTCTACGCAATCTTTCTTGTTGCTCTTTTTTGGAACCATAACCGGCTCCCTATTTGATGCCGGTTATACCAGACAACTCTTGATGGTGGGCTGGGCCTTAATCCCGTTGGGGCTTATGATGACAAGTATAGCCAGTCAATACTGGCAGATATTCCTCGCTCAAGCTATTTGCATGGGCCTCGGATTCGGCAGCGTGTTTGTCCCCTGTGTTGCTGTTTTACCCCAGTACTTCAAGAAACGAAGAGCCATCGCCAACGGGTTAGCTGCTACCGGTAGCGGAATCGGCGGACTTGTCTATCCCATCGTATTCCGACAGATGCAGAAAAGTCTTGGATTTCCATGGGCCACACGAGTGCTAGGCTTTATTGTCTTCGCCACTATGTCCATCTCCGTTTCCCTGTTGAAGATGAGATTCAAACCAGCCGAACGACGCAGCTTGGTCCAACTTTCGGCGTTCCGGGATCCGGTATACTCCCTTTTTTGTGTCTCTCAATTTTGCGGTTTCCTAGGCCTCTACAACATGATGGTATACATTCAGCCCTATGCCATTGATGAAGGAATAATGGGCACCGATCTGGCGTTTTACCTCCTCGCCATACTTAACTCTGCTTCGACATTTGGCCGGATAATTCCAAACTACTTTGTCGACTTCATTGGCCCCTTTAATGTCATGATACCTATGGCATTCTGTTCTGGAATCATAGCCCTTGGCTGGATAGGGGTTCACACCACTGGTAGTATCATAGGCATCGTGATACTATACGGCTTCTTCTCGGGTGCCTTTGTATCCGTCCCTCCGGTAGTTCTAATTAGCATAACCCCTGATCTACGAGATTTCGGCACGCGCCTTGGAATGGCGTTTGTGTTCAACTCTGTTGGTACCCTTGCTGGTACGCCTATTGGAGGCGCTATCATCCATGCATCTGGGAATCAGTATCTGGGCGTACAGCTCCTGGCTGGATCCTGTCTACTGATGTCGGGGATACTCCTTGTTATTGCCAGGTTAGTTAAATCTGGACCGAGAGTGTTTATACATGTCTAGTCAGAAGAAGACGGGCATCAACACCCTTGCAGGATTGGTTAATCTAGTATGGCATGCTAGATGATATTATTCTCCATGTATATTTGGAATTTAAAGAGAGATATGATAAAATACTAATAATGATATAATAATGTTTATAATATTAATCTATCCATGACCCTCCTCCAGGGAAACCCCCCTTTTTTATACTATTCATAACAGTCGTATGCCACTCTCCAGTACACAGTGACATGGTCAACATGCTGGGGTTAATATGTGTAAATCCTGCTATCACAGAAAGCCCCTTGAATCAGGTAACGTCTTCAGGACTCACAAGGAAGTTTTCCCCATTTGGACGAGAGTGCTTTAGATGCACATCACGGCTCAACGGCTTTCGCATGTCAAATGCATCTTCACCCTCTTCTGAGAGCCCCGTGGGGTCGTCACTGTAATAATTCACCACTCGTCTGAACACAGAATACCTAGAGCGCAAGCAAGGTCAGCATAGCAACAGGCAGGTAGCAAGGAAGCTGCCAAACACCCACCCCATGCCCTTGTACATATCAACGGCGACCTTATTCCCCGCCCGCACATACAGATCAACGAACCACGCATTGTTCTTGTCTGAGGCCCGTTCCAGACTCTCCGTCAGCCGTCGTGCGTGGCCCATCCTTCTCCAGGCCGGCGCAACTGTGAGCACTGTGATATGGCCATGCCAGGGGGTGTAGTGCTCCGAATGACGCATGGCCTGTGGTTGCGTTTCAAGCTTGCCCATTACTATATCGGAGACGGTGTAAGTCAGCCAGTCATGCCACGTCTACAGAGGATATCTGTTATTCTTTTCTTTTTGCTCGTTCGTGAGCGAGCGAGCGTTGGGCTGCTGCCAGTGAACAAACGGCCCGCCGTGGGCGTGTCTGGCGCACAAAGGCGGAGGGGAGCGGTCAGGTCGAAAGGAGACGTACTGTAGCCGACTATCTGGCCATCGCGGTCCTCGACGACATTGAAGAGAGACGGCCATTTCATGAGATAGTTGAGGTAGAAGTGCAGGTCGTAGTTCTCGGTCAAGGGATCGAGGTTGGTCAGGTTCAGGCTGAGCAGGTCGCCGGGCGTCATGCGCCGGATCGTGGCCATGGTGAAGTCGAGTCAGCCGGCGGCCACGAAGCAGGCCAGCGAAGAAGCGACAGAGGCCCTGGATGGCGTGCGGTGTCCTTATAGGTTTCAGCTGTTCCCGGAGTGTCCTATATATTTTTATTTTTCAAGCTGCTGCATGGTGATTTGTGGTGGTGGTGGTTTTTCTTCCGGGCGGTTTGGTTATTTTAAAATCTTCCAAGAAACATCCAAGTTAGTCCAGCTAGTTAGTTAATATTCACATTTGCATAGCAACGCCCGCCTGTGCAGGGCCAAACAAGACACGACGAGCTGCTGTCTGCGTGAGAGAGCAGAGTCGGCACTATCCGACCAGGCATATAAGCATAAGGTATTTTGTCTTCGATAACTGCTAGTCATCCTGGCGCTTTTTGCTGCGTCCAAGCGGAAACAGGGGCTAAATATTTCTATTTACCTGGAGCAAGAAAAAAACACTGACCTGGCCAGGAACAGGAGCATAAAGACTTCAAAGCCGCCGGGACATGCCATCTTGATTGATATCCTGGGGAAGACAAGCAGAATATAAGAATATATATATATACTCGTCCTCTGGCATAAGCAGCATAACTAGTTGAGCCAACATGCCTTCTTCTCCCATTTCCCCGAAGCAACATCGCAGACAACCACCGAGCATCGACCTGTCGACGTCTCCAAACGCATTTGCTACGAATTCGAACGGCATATACTCTCCGCAAATAGCCAGAAGCTCTCTCCCGCAGTCTCCAGTGACTCCGCGACAACGGCACCGCATGTCTATCGACAGGACGTCTCGGTACTCTGCCGATTTCACCAACGATATTGACTGCCGGAATGGCGAGGCCAGTCCCATACTGGACGGAGGACTTGGTAGTCTGGCTGACGAGCTTGCAGATGCCTGGGGCGACGATGTAGAAGATATGTCCGGCCTACCAGAAGCAGGCGGCGATGGTGAGGAATATGATGATGACCATCTTGGTGCTCTGAGGAACGGCATGCGGAATGGCCATCATGACGGAGTGAACGGGGAGTTAATTGATTCGATGCATGATCTGGGTATTGGAATGGGATCCAAAGGGTTAAGGAGACAGGACGGTTCAGAGTCTGAATATGAAGGCGGACCACGCCCGTCGAAACCACGACCGAAGTCGATGATAGCGAATAATGCACAACGACATCGCAGATACGAGTCGTCTCTCTACGATGGCTCCGAGTACGGGCCAGACTCTGATATCGAAGAGTGTGCGGATATATCGCCTGCTCTGGAGGCGCGGATGGCTGGAATCGAGCAGCTCGTGCGGTTTGGAAACAGTGAAGCCGAACACCAGAGCAACGAAGTCATGCTGCGTGTTATCCATGGCCTGCGAGATCTAGGCGGGCAGAGTGAGATTGAAAGCGGTGCTTCCAGGTCAGTTATTTTCCCCCGGCACTTCTGCATGGCAATAATCATAATATATACATTGCGAACGCATTGCTAACGTGCTGGCTATAGGCTCATTACTGCACACGCTTCTCTGACCTCCCATCTAACACACCAAACCCGTTCTCTACAAACACTCACCCACCCTCTACTATTCTCACATTTCCCTGTCCTCTCCCCAGACGCCATAGACGGTCTCATTCCCTTGATAGACGATGTCCTACCAAACCTCCCTTTTCCAGTGCAATCCACGACTTCAGTCCCAACATCTACCGCAATACCACACGACTTCTCTCCTTCCCAATGCTCAATCTCAAGCTCAGCCTCAAACAACGCTGCTACAAACCCGCTTCTCTCCCTACAAGCTCTCCTTGCTCAAACATCCGACCTCACACATACATTGCGCACGCTCAGCGATACGTTGCATGAATCCCGCCAATTGACTTCCGCGGCATCTCGGCGACTCAAGTCAGTGCGTGAGCTGGTGTCTGAGATCCGACGGGATGAAGAAGCGCGTGAAGAAGGGACAGCCTGGATTGAGCAAGGGGAATGGGATAAGCGGCTCAGAGAGCGCGAGGCCGGCAGGGTATGCGGGGATGTCGTCAGCGGCTTCGAAGCTGTTTGCGGAGAGTGGAGAGATAGATTATTCGGTACAGAAGTGGTTGTTGCATAGCGGAGGATTTCCTATAGATCTATTCTACCTATCTACTGTTGTCTGTGGTGTTGTTGGTTTTCTTTACTGATGTTGGAATGTCTTTTACACCTTACACCCCTTGTTTTATACTCTTCCTTTCTCTGCTCCCCTTTGTTTTACCATCGCTATCTACTTCTCCTTTGTAAAGTTTTACTATTGATAGAGAGAGATGGATATTCAAGTTGATATCCAGCATAGGCTGGCTTTGACCAGCCAAGGGGTGTTACCACTTGTACTACATACCCCGTTCTGTTTATTTGATCTACCAGTTATTTGTTACGACACTTGACACTGAGAAAATTATTTTTATAAGTTTGTTCCCATTGCAATTTTTACCATAGGAATGTTCAGCTATCTGCCCCTTTCCCATCAATCATATATATCTCCAGTCGAATATTCAGAATCGTAGAGTGGTGGGAAAGCAATGCAACAGAAGAGCAAGAAATACGAACAAGAAGAAAAGAGTTAGAGAAAATGGCAAAAGGGAATCAATTCTTTAGTTTGAGCTGGGGCGAAAAAGGGGAGGGACAGGTAAGATTAAATCCAATAAAATTGAGATGCATGCCACAGACATTAATAAGGAGAGACGGAGAAAAGGCGAGGAAGAAACCAGAACCAGAGGCTTTTTGTTGGACGTAAAATAACATCTGAAGGTGGTTGATGATGGGGTCGAGATGAAGAAAAGTGTGAGAGGTAGAAGAGAAGAAAGAGAGGAATGGAAAAAAATGCAGATGAGATGAGAAGAATAGAGAAATCATAGCCTCCGTTTCTGTCCCATGAGCCATCAACATCAACACGAACCACCATAATCATGATCATGATCATCAACATGCCGGAACAAGACAAAACAAATGAAAATGATACACGTCTATTGCTGGGGTCTGGTTCGGGGTCTCCAGGCACCGGAGCTGGGAGGGGGGAGTTTAGCCTCTGGCTTCCCTTCACTGTCAGTGGCGGGAGCAGGGCTCCTGGCAACTGGAGGCCGGGAGTCGGAGGAAGATACATCTCGGCCTCTGGACGGGAAGCGGGGAGCAGCGCCATTTGCCGGGCTGTCACGGCCACGGAGGTGGACAGGGACATAGGCTCCAGGAGTGCCTGATGCTTTGCGGAGAGTATCCCGAGCGCCCATGTCGCGGGCTGGGGGCTCACGTTCGCGAGATGGCAGCTCACGGGGTTCACGACCAGGAATGGTTCGGGGAGGTGGAGTAGCGGACTCATCTGCGGCAGATTCGCCGCTGCCAGCAGCAGCCTTTTTGGCAGCCTCTCGTTCTCTCCAGGAGGCACCGCTGCCAGTGCGGGAAGTGAGGTTAAGACGAGGAGCGGTGCGTTCAGTAGAGTCGGTTCGTGGAGCCTCGGCAGTAGCTGTTGGGGGAGCGCGAGCCAGGCGAGGGTCAGTCATACCGGCTCGTTTAGCAGCAAGACGCTTCTCAGCTTCCTCTTCACGCTGTTTCTGGATAGCAGCTTTCTCATCCAGAAGTCTATGCCATAGATTAGCAGGGATATTGGGAGAGATATCGGATGATATAAGTTAAGGAAAACTGACCTTCTCTGCTCTTCTCTAGCAGCCTTCTCCTCAGCCAACTTCCTCCTCCTCTCTTCATCTCGGGCGGCTCGCTCCTGTTCTTCCCTCTCCGCACGCTCTGCCTCCTCACGCTTCCTTCGTTCCTCGGCCTCACGCTCCAATCTTTCTCTCTTGATACGCTCCTGGACTTCCTTGACACGCTGTTTCTTCTTGGCCTCGAACTCACGTTCGGCAGCCTTGCGGCGACGCTCAAACTCTTCATGTCGCTTCTCGGTAACAGTGTGCTTGAACTTGTTGAAATGAGGTACAAGACGACTAAGACGGTGCTTGAGAGCCACATCTTCCTTGTGCTTAATTTCAGCGGCGGCAAGGGTCTCAGCCTTTTGTTTTTCATAGACTTCGAGGTCATGCTTCTTCTGTCTCTCATAGTCCTCAGGCAGATGCTTGAGTTCCTCACGGCGGTAGGCACGCTCAAGATGGTCGAAGCGTTTGGCGGTTACGCGGATCTTCTCATTGAGTTCATTCTTCTCCTTCTCGAGTTGGGCAAGCTTCATTGCTCGGAGACGGTTAGAGTCGAGCTCTTCGAGGTCAATTTCGCTAACGTCAATACCCTTGATACCGGTCTTGAGCTCCTCAAGCTGCTTCTTCAACTCTGCCTGGCAAATACGATCCTGCTCATCCTTCATACGCTTGCGTTCTCTCTCCCGGTGCTCGTTGAGGAGACGCTGCTTCTCAGCCTCCTGTAGCTGTTGTGTGCGGATACGCTTCTGAGTTTCTTCTTCCTGCTGCTTCTTCTGTAGAGCATCTGAAGCAGCCTCCTTCTTCTTATCGATGATCATACGGCGAGCAAGGATTTGCTCGTGCTCCTTTGCGGCGCCGGCTTTGGCACGGGCTTGTGCCTGGCGCTGGGCCTCAATGCGAGCTTCATTGTAAGTAGGATCAACATACATGCAAGTAACATGCAATGTCTTAGCGAGACGAGTGAGCTGCGATCTGGCAATCTCGGCCGGAGTGCTTTGCAGTCTTTGAACTGCACCAACGTCACTCTCAGCTGATCCGGCTGCGCTACCAGCATGTACAGCCTTAGCAGAAGAGAAGATATCCGAGTCAAAGGTGAGGACTCCTGAAACATGGTCAACACGGATAGCCAAATCACCCTTCTTGCAGCCATTCATGATGAACTTCTCGACCATGGAAGGAGTTACTTGGAAAGGAGCAGGGAAGTGAGCAAGTTCGTGAACAAACTTGAGCTCTACAGATTCGTAAACCTGGGACAACTGTTGGAACAGACGGGTAAGGATGACCTGCTGCAATGGTAGGACATACTTCTCCATCTCAGCATCAGCACCGATCTGTTCGAGAATGGGTGCGATCTTCTTGCAAATCGAGAGCGGGTGGAAGTCGACTTCAAGGATGTTGTAGAGGTCCCGGATCTCTGGACGAGCACGAGACAGGAGGCCCTTGTTGAGAGCGTCTTTGAACAGGGCAGCACGAGTAGGAGAGGAAGCCATGCCGAGCAAGTTGGTTAGACGAGTGTTCTTGTTCTTGCGGGCTTCATCAACATCAACCAGGGCACCACGTGAGCGAGAAGTGCTGATGACGGGAATGGAAAGGGCAGAGAGAAGGACAAAGGAGGCGGTCTTGGTCATGTCTGCTTCGGAGACAGATGGGTTATCCTTCTTGGAGACCTGGCCGGAAGCAACGGCAATGGCAGACTGGCGGAGGAGGGTATAGTATCTGTTCCAAGCCGCAGCGTGGAAGAGGTAGTTATCACTAACAAGGAAGATACGTGCAAGCTTCTCGTAGTAATTGGCCATCATGACATTCTTCGCTGGTCGCTTGCTCAGGTTGAGGAGGGTATGGATGTCCTCTACACTACGGAAACCTTCCTGCCATAGCTCAAGCTCGACGGCAACGTTTAGCTGCTGGAAGCGGGTATCTAGATGGCGTTGCAGGGTGTCGGGGTCGCTGAGGTTGATGGCATGCATCTGAGATGAATACTTGGCAGCATTCTGGACATGGTTCCTGAGCAGCTCGCAGAGACGTCTGAATTCGGTCTTGCGGGTGTATTTGAGACAGAACTGGAAAGCTTGCAGGGCGGTGGACTGGTACATGACTTCGAGGCGAGCGTTATTCTTGAGAATTTCGAGCACGGTACGGTATGTCTCCCAAAGGAACTTGAGCCAGGGAGTGACGATAGCGCGGTCTGTGCGGTCCTTGGACTGTTCTCCAGAAACAGTGGCGAGAAGGATGGTCTCTGGTGTCTCAATGGCGTCTAGATCCTCGATATTTGACGTAGCTCCGGCATTTGATTCGAGAGACTGCTGGATCTCATCTGCCTTTGCTTGGGCCTCTGTGACTTTTTGCTCCGCCAACTCAATGAATTTTTTCAACACCATCTATATCGGTCAGTATGATAAAGCGAAGAAAAAGCCAAAGATGGGGGGAGCATTGAGATATCATACCTCGATGGTTCCGACGTTGGTGTTCTGAGCAATGTTCTTGTACTGGTACAAGCCATCTTTGGCGGACTTTCCCTTTCTCAAATCGACGCAAAGCTCGACGAACAGAACCATGACTGGCTCTAGCGAGGCAATCGGGCTGTTCCTGGACCGTTTCGAGGTGACATGTTCGTGTAGAACGGTCAAGGCAGATGCATGTTGGTCGACGGCGATGAGTTCCTCAGCGCGCTATACAGAGCAGTTAGATCCCGCATAACAAGCTGCCAAAAAAGGTTCGAAAGATAATGTCAGAGCAAGCCTACCCTGAGGATGTTCTCCGGCCGTACGTGTGGGAGAGGCGCCATGCTGGGCGGTCGTCCCTATGATATTGAAGTGGGATGTTTTCAACGTGGTTTGTATGTATAACCCCCAGGCACTGTAATTTTTCCCACGCTCGACAACTTTTTCTTCGATAAGGTTATCGCTCTGTGCGGCCAGGGACGACGGCGAAAAGTCCTGCACGAGCACGAACTTGCGAGGGCGGCGGGTAGAGATCGAGCGAGCCTCCTCGTTGATGGTCGTCGTGATGGCTGGCTCTGGAGGCCTTTTTTCTGCGTTGTTGGTGTCTTTTTTGTGTGCAGAGCGAAAAAGGTGGAGGCGAGTTTTTCCTCTTTTTTCTCTTTTGGGCATGGAGATATTAGGTAAGCTGAGGAAACAGTAAGCGAGTCACGTGATTATTTGAACCTTAAGACGACGACGATGAAGGGGAAGAAACTGAAGACGCGACGGTGACATTGTTGATATTGATATTGATATTGATATTATACAGCAATGTGGCAGACTACGGAGTAGTAGAGAAGGCTACGATGGGGAAGATGAGGTGGGAGGGCTGCAGTTCTGGCCGTCTGCGGGACAGCAAACGACGGTCTTGGGGGCCATCAGCTAGCGTGCAGCCAGTAACTTAGGGGGTCGGCTCGCTGGGAGCCGTCGCAGCGAGTACGGAGTCAGCAGAGTAGTACTTAAAGCAGAAAGGTCGATAAACAGGACAAGAGATGGGGGCGCTAGATACGGAGGGGGGCGAGCTGGGAGATGCGAGATGTGCTATCTATAGCAGCTTCTCCCCTGGCCCACCACGCAGAACACAGGGCACAAGCGAGTGAGATAAAAAAGACAGAAGTGAGAGCAACAGCGCAGTTACAGCGCAGCCGTCAATCCACAAGGAGGTCCAGCGTATGTAACTTCCGTACTCCGTACGACAAGCTCATCAAGCAGTGCCAGTCCAGTCTAGTTCGAAGGGGCCGATCCCAACCCTAGCGCCCTTGAAAAGCGCCTGCTTGAGAGGGCCGTCATCAAACTCCGTTCTCTGCTGTAACTATCCGCCACTGAGAAGGGGTCAAGTCTGCCTCGAAACCTCCAGACTGGGTCCCCAGAGCCCCTAGAACGATCCCCCTTGCGGTCGTGTATGTAGGTAACTAAGTGGTTTGCGCCGTCGTCGATCGCGCCGTTGGGAAAAAAAGGGACGAGGAAAAAGCAGACAGAGCCGGCCCATGGTGACGCTGTACTTCCTCAACCCAGCGCGACTGCTCTCTTCTCGCCTTCTCTCCCTGTCCTCTCGTCTTCACCTCTGCCTTCACCTCTGCCTTCACCTCTGCCTTCATCCCGTCGCCATCTTCATCACCATCGCCTGTCTCCATCTCCCGTCTGTATAACTAAATACTAATAATACTCCCAAGTACAGCCTGCTTGCTTGTTGACGTCAAAAAGGGGAAAGGAAGCCAAATGCTGACTCAGCTAGCGTAAATTACCCACACGACCCAGCGGCCCCCCCGTACCAGGCGTGACCAAACTTACCAAACTTACCAAACTTACCAAACTTACCATACCGAGACGGCCTTTTTCTTCCTTTCTGCTCTCGCTCGCCTTTCCTTCTTCTCTTCCTCTCTTCCTCTCGCTCGCTTCGCTGCGTCTTCCGTTGCTCTGCTGCCCTTCCGCCTCGCTCGCTGCGTCGACCTGCACTTCCTCGTCCGCTCCAGAGAAGCCTCCCGAGCCGAGTCAAAGGCTCCCGCCGTCTCCAGGACTCGACTGCCCGACCGGCTCCCTGCCTCCCAAGTCGTCGCGAAGGGGGCACACCACATCGTTGCTTACCCGCCCCGAGCCCGCCCGTTCAAACCGCCCCGGAGAACTGCGCATCGCCATAGCACACCTACACCCTCTCTCCCTTTCTTCCCTCCCCTTCTCCCGTCCAGTGGAGTGGACGACTGCCAGCTCTCTCGACCTCGCACACCACAATGCCGCCAGCTTATGAACTGCGCTCAGGGGGCGACGGACGACGGACACGACAGAATCTGGCAGAGCTCAAGCTGCGCCGCCTCGCCGAGGTCAACATACGGCTCAAGGAGGATCTCGACAGACCGCGTATAAAAGTTGCCGAAGCGTCTATATCGTGCGTCGTCCTGCCCGTTCCCTCGATATACATGACACTCGATGGCTAATTTGCATGGGTTTCTAGGCTTATAAACTACTGCAACAACACAAAGGACTTTATGGTGCCGTCTGTATGGGGACAGGTATGTCGGCCCCCCCCCTTTTTTTCTGCCATATATATCCATGGCATTGACAAGCACATGGCTAACCCCTTTCTTTCTTTCCCTTGCCTAGGTCGACAAACGTGATGACCCTTATGCGCCACAGCAGTCTGGAGGGTGCTGTATACTGATGTGATGGATGAGCATGTTGAAAAGACAAAAAAGTACGACACTAAACAAACAAAATCAAATAAGGAAAAAAAAAAAAAATCCCCGACAAAAATTAAAGGAAAGGAAAAAGGACATGAAGAAGAGCATCCTCAGCATCCTCAACACTCTTGACTTACTTGACCATCGACTACACACCACCACAATGACGCACACACTCGACACCTCAACCCAGCGAACAGGGGGAAAAAACACAACAACGATACCCTTATATTTGAACATTCCACCCTGCCACTCGACTTGCCTTTAATCAGTCCCTCCAGTCATGGCCACCAGACCTGCTCTTCGTTCTCCGTCCCGTCCGTCCAATGCTTGCTTGCTCAATAATATCTAATTCTCCCTCCTCCGCTATCTTGTCTCCTGCCACCCGCAATCGCACTATACGATCCAAACAAATCATCACGATCTCCTTATTCTTTTCTCTCCTTCTCTTTTTCTCTTCTTTTCCCTTTTCTTGTTCATGTCTATACATAACTACGATCTACCTGCTTGGTTCGTTGCCTCGAAAACTCTCTCTCGCCGTTCTACTCTTTATCTTGGAATAGGGATTGGAATTGGAACGGCCGTCGTCATCCTCATACATGACATGTCTTTCCCTCAGTCGAGACTGCCATCTTCTCTTCCTTCCATCTTCCCCCGCTCGGTACTGCTCCAGATACGGCTACATTGGTTGCTCTGCTGTCTATCGTCCTCTTTCCTTTTTGGCTTAGCTAGCATGGTCCAACCAGTCAGCTAGTATCCGGGTTCCTCGGCATACCACATACCTTCTCGACCTTCCCGGCCTCGTCTTGGTTAATCCTCTATTCCTTGGTTATACTCTTTTTTTCTTTTTTCTTTTTTTTTTTTTCTCTTCTGTTCCTCGTTGTCGGTGCCAGTTCCTTCGTTTGCTAAAATCATATTTTCTCCCCCTTACACCAGTCCATCCCTTTTTCCCCCTTGCCCCTTTTTTCACCGTTCGTCTTGTTCCTACAGTCATGTTTCCATGTCTTTCTCTCCATCTCTCTGTCTGTCTGTCTGTCTATCTCCATTTTCTTTGTCCGCTATTACCCACACCTATTTCCTCTATCCGCAACTACTTCGCTTTCAAGAGCTGGAATAAGCATAGGATAAACCCCCTCTGGACCGGACCAGATCTGAAATTCATTTCCATTTCCATTTCCATTTTCCATATCTCTTTGTTTCCTTTTCTTCTCCTATTATCATCTATATCTACCTTTACGTCTCCTTCATAACTAGTAACCCGACTAACCCTTCCCCCTTCCTTCCAACCTATCCTCCTGCCAATGTAAAATAGATTTTCCGCCTGGGAGAAGCAATACCACCTCTATCTAACAATAAAGCCCGTAATAACATGTCGATTATTTTTTCCCCCGGTCGATCTTCTTGACTTCCTATCTCTTATGCACGTCCATCTGTATCTCTGCCGGGATCATAAGATTACCAACTGTTAATCCACGAAGATGATTTGTCCGATCTCATCCCGGCCGGCAATCATTCGGACAACGTCGTCGATTGCGTACTCTGGGGTTTTGTGATGTATTCTATAACTATATGTCAACCGTCATGGACCTACGCCGCTTCGCTGTGGCCAGGTCGGTAGACGCCCGGTTTCTGACCTGTCGTCTTTTCCAACCGATAAAGTAAGCTTCACCGGCTGTCTTGCCCGTCTATCCTGAACTAATAGGCGCCCCGTTATAGGGCTGTCTCCATAGTTATCAAGCTGTATGTACTTACATCGTCAGCCTCAAAACGCATCCTGTAGTCGGCGCAGGAGACGCCTCCAAATAAGCACGCAGCAGGCTCAGACTCAGCCTCATCAGCCAGCCTAGTTTAGCTGCCGTCCATCCCATCCCACTTCCACCACAACATCTACATCTACATACATACATAACATACACAGCAGCAGCAGCAGCCCACCATGGCCGACCAGCCTCAGCCCCTCGAGGATGCTGGGATATCAGACTCCCACGCCACGGCTCCAGTCAACCTGCCGCGAGTCACCATCACCTTCTGCACTCAATGTAAATGGATGCTCCGCGCCGCATATGTACGTCCCCCACCACCACAACCACCACCACGACCGCCTCAACTACCAGGCTACCCCAGACGTAGAAGCTCAAATACAATAACCAGAGAAACTACTAACCGCCCACCAGTTCGCTCAAGAGCTTCTGTCAACTTTCTCCACCGCGCTAGGCGAAGTATCTCTCGTTCCTGGCACGGGCGGCGTGTTCACAGTGACGATCCAGCATGCCTCGAACGTGAACTTTACCACTCACACGAGCGTGCTGTGGGATAGGAAAGTCAACGGGGGGTTTCCCGGTACGTCTCACTAACTGAATCCATCATTGCTCTTCTCCTAGCCTGTCATCATATTAAGTAGCGGGTTAGAGACGAAACAGCTCAAGGCGCTGGTGAGAGATGTCATTGAGCCGTCCAGGGACCTGGGGCATATCGATCGAGCGCTTGCGAAGGGGCGGGTTGATGGCGGGAAGAAGGACGGTCGAGGCCAGGGGCAGGAGGAGCCAGGGGAGGCCGGGGAGAAGGGCCAGGCGGGCCAGACGGGCGAGCGTCAGGCTGATTCAGGGCCGTCTGGGCAGGGGAGTTGTGAAGAATGTCAGTAGTAGGAGAAGTTAGTCGAGTTAGCTAGTTCGAGAGGCCGGGTGTCAGTGAAGAAGTTAATCTGGGTTGATGATCTGTGGAGTATCAGCGAGGTTTTACTCTTAATTTATGCTCCGGTGTTACTTGATATTTATATGTAATGGGAACTGTTGATTGATGGACTTTGTATACGACGAGGATACTGGCGGGTTAAAAAAGGGGAGGGGGGAGCGGCAGACTACAACTTATTATTGCCAGGGGCTGCTGATGCATGTGCGTATGTATGGACTGAGGTTACGGAGTACGTCTTTTGCGAAATAAGAACAATTCAACTATGGTAGTGGTATAAGTAGTAGAGTATGTATATATAGTATATGAAGGTGGGCGGATCAGATAACAAGAACAAGCGTAAGGCGTGAGCTAGGTAAAGCAAGCTGGCGATGGTAGAGGAAGCATAAGGAGGTAAAGGTATGCAAGGTATGTAGACAAGACAGGTAGAAAAAGAAAAGAGGTACAGACGAGACGGACAGATAAGAAAAAGAGCTGCCTGCGTCAAGCAGTAAGAATAGACAGAGTAGGAGGAGGAGGAGGAAAAGGGGGTAGAGGAAAGGAATATATATAGATCTAACTCGCTTCGTAACTGGAAGAAGACAGAACATAAGGAAATGAGAGAGTCGGATGAGACAGGACAGGACCATGAGCATAGCCTTTGCATACTGCATATCTTTGCATTGCAAGTCATGAATGGAACGCCGGACGGAAAAGCAGGAAATAAATAAATAAGGTGAAGTCAGTGACAAACGGAAGTGAATCATGTAGACGGACAGCAGTGTAGACAGTGTAGTAGACAGGTGAGGTCAGTCGAAATGGGAAGAGAAGAGGAAATTTGAACAGTAACAGAACTCAACATGTACGCCGAAACCCCCCAGAACCGACCTGGACCAGGAAAACCGAGTTTTTTTTGGTAAGAGAAGAGAAGAGGATAGAATAGAGAAAAGGGTGAAATGAGACAAAACGAATGGCGGAAGATGAGAAGATGAATGTACACGTGGTAAGAAGACGGGTGTCGTTGAAGGCAAGGGCCAGGTTAATAATGGTCAGAAGCGCTCATCATGCTTGATGCTGATGCCGTTGTTGACGGCGCCGAGTCAGATTGCGGCGGAGAATGGGGGTGACCGGGCCCCTGGCCATGGTGTTTCGACCGCCGCCAGAAGGCTAGACGTAGCCGGGAGCGGCGTCGGGGGAGCGGCATCGTTGCATGGTTAGGTGATAGGGAGGAAAGAGGGTCATTATTACCGTCGTCGGAGTCGAATGGGAGTGTGGATGGGGGCAAGGGGGGACTGGAAGGGGTTGAGCGAGGGTGGCTTGTTGGGCCGCCACGTCGTCCGCGAGTGTGTTGGTTGTGATGGTGGTTATGACTGTTGTTATGTACTGTGGGTGTTGACTGGGCGGATTTTGAGTATGTCAGGCCAGCTGGGTGGTTGCCTTTGGTGCTGTTGGTGGTGGCAGCAGGGTTATTATTATTGTTGGAGCTGGCCTTCTCGAACAGCCCGGTGATGAACTTAGATCGCCTCTCGCCGGCCTTGCTATTGGTGGCTCGCTCATACCATGTCTGCGTCTGCGACTGGCTCTGCGGGTGCTGATGGCTGCTTGTTCCATCAGTGGTAGAGGGTAAAGCGTTGACTGGAGACGGCAGGTTCTCGTCAGCATACATATTCTGGTGGCCGCCATCATGATCATGCTCGTCTTCGTTCTCGTTCTGGGCAATGCTGGACGTGTAGCTGCTGGCGGTGGTAGTGCTGGCAGCACCGGCAAGGGCGACATCGTCCGGCTTTGCCTGATCACAACGACGAACATGATGATGGTGCATGGCATTTGGATTTAGGCTGATGCGCTGGTGTAACTGACAGGTACCATCTTTTTCCTCGAAGCTGCTTCCGGCGCTTATGACGCTGCTTGCCTGAGTGGTTGAAGAAAGCGGAGTGATTAGTGTATTGTTTGTGTAGGTGCTTGTGCTTTGGGTGCGTACTCCACCGCCACTACCGCTACAGCCGCTGCCAGAGTCGATTGTGCGGGCAGTGTTCTGGACCGACGACCGGCCTGCTGATCGCTGCGATTGACGATTGGCGTGGTGGATACCGTTGATGATGACGGGGACATTGGTCGTGGGTCCAGCAGCGGCGGGAGTAGTAATAGCAGTTGTTGTTGTTGTTGCCTGGATGTTGGTGGTATCTGCTTCTCCGTCCAGCTGAGGCGGGGATCGAATGGGTGAATGGGGCGGCGAACGGTGCTGGATGGTGTATCCCATGGACGCCGGGCCCTCTTCTATCAGACGCTTTCTGCATTCCTCCCAGGACGGGTCGGTACCTTGACAACGCGGAGTGCTGCAATTGCGAGCGCGGTGTTCGGCCAGGACTTCTTCATGCTCCATAAGCTTAGCCCAGATGAATCTGTTGCTTCGTATGGTGTTGGCGGCAAAGGCAAGGTCAGGGAGGATGTCGGTTACTCCGTCGAAGAGAGGGAGGCCGAATATGTCCATGAACCCAACCTGTCCCTTTGCCTTTTTGATAAAGTTGCCTAGCTCTGGCGGACCACCGAAGAGAGAGGTTGCTATACCGATGTTTACTTCCATTTCTCCTTGGTTAGCAAACTCTAGCTGCAGGACGTCGGTCCACTGTTCTGCAACCTTGAACGGGCGTGCCTGAAATTTAAAAGAAAAAGGTAAAAACAAAACGTTAGCAATGGCTCGACCTTTGAAGTGGGAAAGGCGGAGGAAGGTAAGGGGAAAAACTTACGACGTTGCTGATGTCGGCGCATTTGATGATGAGGGCGCACAGTAGAACTCGATAGTCTCTGATGTCTTTCTCGATCCAGGAATCCACCTTTCTGCCGTCAGCTGCATACCTACCCCTGAGCTTACCAAGCTCATCAATGAAGTGATTGTGGATGCCCATATCGGTAGCGAGGATAGAGCTAATCATAAGTGTGCGCATCTCTGTATCTTGAAAGACAGCGGGCCAGTGCCGGCGGAGTATCTGGGAGTAAGCAGCGCAGTGAAAGGCCTCGAGGACAGATCTGTCGTTGTAGAGCTGGGCAAGGGGAGCATTGAGCTTGACGAGGAACATGTTGTTGACACCCGGATGGCCTACATCATGGCCCAGAGCAATGACAAGGAGTGCGAGAGCGTCAAATGGGGTGACGAGACATGACATGCCCGCGCATGAGGACCGAGGTTCGCTTCCGAGGGGGAAAGGCGGGATGGCGCCTATACGCACGAGGATGTGGAAGGTCGACTGTAGAACGTCAACTGCATGGCGGAAGTTGTGGTAGAGTATAAAGGAATTGTAAGCCGCGCGACACGAAAGCACAAACTCCCGCAGAGATTCTACAAGCGGTTAGAAGATGTAACCAACCAATGAACCAATGAAAAAAGAAAGAAAGAAAGAAAGATGCTTACCGGAAGAGATGCGCCAGTGTTCGAGGTCGGGTACGGTAAGGGTATGTTCAAACATCAAACAGGAAGCATAGCAAAGTTCATCATCGGTAAAGTCGTGAGCACAGAAATGCCATTCAGCAATGGCAGCCTTGACTTCCTCCTTGCGTTCGTCTGAGACGCAGACGTCACTGATCAAGGAGTCGTCGAGGGCTTCTTCAGGATTACATATCCTCTTCATCAATTTGGAGACCCTAGAAAAGCTGGTCAGAGAAAAACAAAGGTAACAAAAGTAACGAAAGAGAGAGAGAGATAGAAAACAACATACATGGCCTCTCTGAGATAAGCATAGGGTCTTTCATCCTCTGCGGTCGAGCTGACGCCGACCCAGGAGTACTTGCGAATCTTTTGACCGGAGGCAGCCATGAAGCGACTGTTCTCCTTCTGCGCAGCCCTGCGGATGCGGTAGGCATGGATGAGCAGGCCCTGGACCCTAGACTGGTCTATGGGCGAGACAAGGACGTCAATGGCGCCTGCGTCGAGACAGCGGCTTATCTGGCGGTCGTCCGGACGGCGGGAGCTTGGCTTTGTCGCAGGCTCGACATTCTTGCCGCTGCGCAGGACGTGTGCGGAGGAAGAAAAGGGCGAGGGTTGGGGCCGGACGTTCCGTAGGATGGCGATTGGGATGATGGCATGAGGTGTCTCGCGGGCCTGAATATCTGCGGAGAAGCGCGAGAGCAGGTGGAGTCCGAACAGCTCTTCGGACTCGGAGGAGAATGCAAGACTGCGCCTGGAGGTTGATGGCGAGACCGCGGAAGGCTGTCCCTGGGCCTGCTGAGGGAGATGCTGGTGCTGGTGCTGGTGCTGGTGAGGCGGTTGAGGCTGGGATGGAGGCGAGGAGAGCGGCGTGAGGTTGAGGGAAGAGCGGCGGACGTGCGAGGACTCTGCGTCCCCTGAGACAGCGATATCAATGAAGGCGAGGACGGGGACGATGGCAGCGTCTGGGTCGCCCTCTTCGCGGCCGGCATCCGTCAGCTCGGCGATCTTGGTAGCGAACGACTTGCCCGAGTTGCACACATACACTGTTCCAGTTAGTATTAGAAGTAAAGAGTAGCAGGAGTAGCAGGAGGAGGAGTAGGGAGTATTACCCTGTCTGCAGATGGCGAGGATGCGAGCGAGGTTGGCCGCGAGCTCAGCGGACTCGTGCAGCTGCTCGCCGTCTCTGTCTATCCAGCGCTCGCAGTCGACCCTGTCGTCGAGGTAGACGGCCCAACACGCCGCAGCTGCAGCGTCCATCGTGGTGCGAGGAGCGAGGAGAAAGGTGAGGCGTCCGAGTCGCCTGTCGAGGGCGTGTCTGAGGGCATCCACAGAGACAGAGGTAGCCGGGCGTAAAAAGGACGGCGATGCAGGCAAACAACAAGCGAGAAAAAAGACCAGGCAAAAAGGACCAGCAAAGGGGAAAAAAAGGACCAGGCGAAAGGAAAGACGACGAGGACGAGCTGACTCAGGCCCAAAGCAGAAGGCGAGGCAAGGTCATGTCACTCTCTCTCACTCTCTCTCTCTCTCTGCTGGCCGCTTCTTCGTCTGCTGCGTCTTCGGTCTTCGTCGTCTGCTTCTTCAGCAACCTAGCCCACGTCGAGCCTCCGCCCCGGGCGACCTTGTCCGGCTTCGACGACGCCGGCTGCTTCTTCGTCTCCCTCTCGCGACTGGGACGGCCTGCCTGGACGAGTGTCTGTCCCTGCTGAACCGGTCGCCAACTGGTGGGGGGTCCCCTTCGCCGGCGCTCGCAACCAAGGCTGGACTCGAACAGGTCGAACAAGACGGACGGCGTTCTAAGTAGTCGAGTGGTCGAGTGGTCGAGTGGTCGTGCCGCTGGAAATCCCTTCCCCTCTCAGGTCTCTCTGCCGGGCAGCAACCAAGGACGGCGAGGCAACAGGGCGAGATCGAGGAAGGTCGAGGAAGGTCGATGAAGGTCGAGGATGGTCGAGGATGGTCGAGGATGGTCGAGGGAAGGCCGTCTGGCTCTTCTTTGTGAGGAAGCAAAGTGCGAAGGCGAGGGCAGCAGGAGAGAGAGAAGCGCCCGCCGCAACTCAAGACTAAGACTAGACTTTGCTTCTTCTTCTTCTCTTCTTCTTTCAACTTCTTCTTCTTCTTCTTCAACTTCAACTTCAACTTCAACTTCAACTTCAACTTCTCTTCTTCTATCAACTTTTTGTCTTCTTCCTCGCCAAGACCAGAAAAGGAAAAAAAGGCTCAACCGAACCCGTCGAAGGCTTCTGGAAGGGCCGAGGATGTTTTGGTTTTACCGAAGATACACGCAGAGACAGAGGTTTATTACGGTATCTTACGACAGCGTTACAAGTACAGACAAGACTAAAATAAAGACCTTCGCTTTTAAAGAGACTATCAAAAAGGGAGGACGAGAAGACGAGGAAGACAGCAGCAGAGAGGAGGACAGCAGAAGAGAAGAGAAGGCGAAGAGGAAGCCTGGCGAGCATGAGATGTCTGTCTGTCGCTGCCAGCATGGACGCTTCCCTGTCTCGGCCTCGTATTCCCCCTTCCCTGGGGCCCCCGTTCTCGCATCTCGGCCAGTCAATGAGATCTTGCGTGGCCTTCTGGAAGGGCAGAAGAAGACCGGGAAGCGACCAGGAAGATGGGCCAGGAAGATGACTAGGAAGATGGACCAGGAAGATGGACCAGGAAGACGGACTATGGAGACGAGGGACGACCAGCGCTTGCACTGCACCAACACGGCTCGACCAACCTGACTAACGACTTACTCACGGCCGCCAGCAGACTGACTAGAGCAGACGGCGAACCCGAGTTGATCACCGCGGAAGGCGTCCTTAGCCAGCCCACGGCCGGTTGATCCAGCCTGCTCGGCCTCGGCTTCGTCTCCTTTTGTCTTGTCTCGTTGTTCCTGTCGTTGTCGTTGTGTTTTCTCTCTCAGGGTGCGTCTGCCAACGGCGTCGTCGTATTTTCCTATAACCTGTCCGCGCTATAGGAGAACATGCATCCTCGACTCCATCCACACGAGCCGCCTCAGTCGATCGCCAGGTTTCTGCAGCCGAGGGCCTCTCTCTCCCTGGTATTACTTATTATTACACTTAAGTTCTCTTCCTAGGTACCTCTGAGTGTTTCTCCGCTGTCGGCCTGCCTGCGCTCTGACTGCAGCTGAGGGATGCGCAGATGAAACATGAAACAGGACAAGGACGGCATGGCGTGAAGTAGTCGCAGTCGCCCTGGCTGACAGAGCTGTTAGTGAGCAGGCTCCAAGTTCAGTTGAGCTCGAACTAAGCCCAGGAACCGCCCGCCGCAGCCTCTGTGCTCGATGATGGGCTGGACTCGATCGGCAGGGCGTTGCTTTTCTTCTTTCTCCTTTTTATTTCCCTCCCTCTATCTCTCTCTCGCTCTCGCTTTCTCTCTCTATAGACGTTTTCTTTCATGGACTTTCAACTTCCTCAGTCCTCCGTACTCCTGACTTACGATTTTGCGGGGTTAAGGTTGGTATAGACATGGGACATGGGAGTATTAATAGATGCCTGCATGGATTAAGATGCCTAAAAAAGTCTCCTTCTCTCCTTATCTCTCTCCCTCTCTCTTTTTTTCCCCTCTCTTCTTGACACAGAGTTACAAAGTATGGATACTTACCCCCGGGGCAAAGGATGAGTTTAAATGGCCGGTTGGGACGGTCTAGCGGATGTACTTTCCTTCCTACAGAAACATGGTTCAAGGTCGTTTTAACACTCGCCGACAAGGTACCTGCAATCTATATAGTATCTGGCTCCAGTTAGCACGTCACTTCTCTTTTGACAGGCAGAAAAAGATAAGAGAGACCCAATAGAGTAAAAAGTAAGGCGTCATGAAAAAATTAGAGTGTTGTTGCGTTTGTGATCTTCAACGAGGAACCCAGATGGGCCCAATTCTCAGGGTTAAAAATGAATAATCCTTCGCCAGGGACAGTAGGAAAGATGTTGTGTAGCAAGAAAACAACAAAAAGAGTAAAAAGAGAAAGATGGACAGGCTTACCGTTTGATTGAAGGGGGCTGCGGAAGCGGGACGCTAGTTAGGGTTCGGCAGCTTAAAGGGAATTCGGCCAAGTAGCTAGATGGGTTAAAAAAAAGAAATAATAAAATATAGGGAAAAAAAATGAGGTTAGAGACTTTGAGCGGATAGCTAGTGCTGGGAGAAGCGAGAAGCTTGCGCTTTGGTGCATTCAGGCTAGTGGTTGATAGATGGAGATTATCTACACAGCAGTTTAACCGAACAAGTCACCGAATCCTGTTTGTTGTGGCAGTTTGGTTAGCATATCCCCCTTTACCCATAGAAACGAAAAAAAAAAAAGGAGAATAATTGAATACTCACCACCCTCGTCACTCTCTTCCTCTTCCTCCTCGACCTTGGCCTCCTCCTTGGGCTTGTCTTCCTTGGACTCGGTCACAGCAGGACCAGTGCTGACATAGGCGTCAGGGTTGGCAATGCGGTCCTTAAGCTCCTCAATGGACTCCCAGCTGTACTCTGTCTCAATACCAATGGCAACACACTTCTTATAAGCGTTGATAAGAGAGTGGATAACACTGGGCATGGTAGGGAAGTTGGCGGCCAAAGAGACACAGGCAATGTTGTTAACTGCGCTCTGGAACACGCTGAGCAAGTGGTCCTCCTCAATATCCAGCACGCTCGAATCAAAAGTCTGCCCGGCGTCGTAGATCTGAGCGACAGTCATACCATACGTGAAGGGAGAGATGTTCAACATGTTCAGCAGCGTAGCCTCAGATGGACCGACCTTGGTCTTGGCCTCAACAAGACGCAGCTCAGTCGTGATTTCAATGGTTCCACGGGCAATCTTGGTGGGAACACCGAGAGCCTGGAAGAAAGAGGTCTTGCCGGGTTCCATGCCAGTGTTGCCGGCGGGAATATACACGTCGACAGGGGCAATGGCACCAGCACGAGCAGGAGCAGCAACTCGATTAGAAATGATCTTTTCACGGATCTCCTTCAAGTCGCCGTTCGTGAAGATGAAGCCGACGTTGCCTACATCCAGTTAGTAAAAATCTTTCTGATATATATATATAATATACCCATCGATTGGTCTTACCCTTGACAAATGGCAACAGGCGTTCATACTCTGGGTTTTCGCTAATGAAGCCCTTCAAAGCTCGACGGACCTGCTCCTAATTAGTACTCCTGCCTCGTCAATTCGTCGCATCGGCCGTGGCAGCCTTACCATGGTGTTCTTTCCCATCAAAACGACGCCCTGTCCTCGCAGAGCAAGACGGATCTCGTGCATCTGCTGCGAGCTGACATTGTCGACGTTGACGATGAAGATTGACTGATACTCATCGAGAAGGCCCTTGAGCTTATCAAAATAAGCGGCCTTGGCTTCGGATTTGCCCCCCATGTCTTCTTATGATAATTGAAGAGAGGATATTTAAGGGCAAATGGCTTCGTTGTCGATGTTGTTGTTGGTTGTGGTTTTGCGATGTTTCTTCTCTTTCGCTTTTTGACTATTTTCGCTTTTTGTGGTTTTTTTCTTCTTGTGGCTCGCTAGTGGGTCACGTGGTGTGCATAACGAGTTAGTTAACCTTAAATCTAGAAGTAAAAAAGACGACGAAGAAGCCGAATAATAATTAAGAAAGGCATCAACTTATATACAAACAAGTAAGTTAGTGCTGCTGGTCCATTGAAGATACACCCAGGTATTCGTCCACTAACTATCTGTTTTAGACACTCCTCGCTGCGATTGACCTGTTTGTTTCAACAGGTAAGCGCCTCCGGGATGGCTCTTCGCCAGCCAATACAGCGGATAGCACAGCTGCAGCGGGCTCAGCGTGACATCTTCGTCACCGCAGCCGGACCGAATCTCTATACATTCGACGCCCAGGATGGTGCCCAATTGGATGTTTGGCCTGCTCCGGCCGCTGATCAAAACTCCCTGCCTGGAGAAAACCAGCCGTTAGCGAAAGCCGAGTCCACCCCGGACCACGCGGGGACACCGCCGCCAGAAAAGAAACGCAAGCTCTCACCTACCTCAAGCGCAGCCAAGGATGATACCAACGCTCAAAAGTCCTCCACTACATGGACTACCATACCGCTGCTTCTATGTACTCCATCAGGTGAACATGTCATCGCAGTTACTGCCGAAGACAAGTGTCTACGGGTATTTGCAATAGGCATTGATGGAACATTGAAACAGCAAAGCGAACGGTCAGTCAGCGTTTTCTCTACATTTTTGCATACACATCACCAAATCTAACTTCTACTGCAGAGGCATGCCCAAACGACCCTGCGCACTTGCACTGGCGCAGAACGACTCCGTGATTCTCTGCGGTGACAAGTTCGGAGATGTCTACTCTCTTCCTCTCCTCCCTGATGAAAACGCCAAACCATCCGCCGCTGTAAAAACCCCTGCCCCAGCAGAAGAGCTAAAAGCATTTAAGCCCTCCGCCAACCCCCTCACAGTCCACACAAAGAAAAACCTATATTCTCTGCAGCAACAACTGCGCTCGCCAGCCGTCAAGCGTGAGAAAGTCGGGCCATCATTCGAACTTAAGCTACTGCTTGGTCATGTGTCCATGTTGACCGACCTGGCATTTGTATCATTCCCAGCCGAGTCACGGAGCTATATTCTATCCGCGGATCGCGATGAGCACATTCGTGTCTCAAGAGGACTGCCACAAGCGCATATCATCCACGGCTATTGCCAGGGCCACACATCCTTCATTAGCAAACTGTGCATCCCCTCTTGGTCTCCAGAATTACTGGTTTCTGGCGGGGGAGATTCCTATATCATTGTCTGGAACTGGCGAGAGGGCAGCATACTGCAGAGAATACCATTACAGCTGACAAGCCAGAGCAGCCCAGCGGGTATTGCGGTAACCGGTATTCGGGCAGTATCCTTTGAGGGCGATACCGATTTATACCAGCTTGCTAAGGGAGCCATTCTTGTTTCCATTGAAGGGTGAGTTTAAACACTCTATCTATACAAAACGATTGTCCTTGCACTGACATATATCCAGATCGCAAGAAATACTCTCATTCAGCGTCAAATCTGATAACACTCTAGAGCCACTTCCATCGATTAATGCATCAGGAAATGCCCTCGATATCACTAACCTGAATGATAAGGGTACTATCGTAGTATCGTCCGATCATGTCCATGAACCAGGATCAACCACTCAGCAAAGATCCAGTAGTACGTCACCAGGCATGCCTTTACAGCAGTTTACAGCCACTGTAGATTCTGGAGGCCTTAGGTGGGAGGAGTCTCACCCTTCCGCTTTAAGTAAAATAAACGCCTGTTCATCTTTCAGTCTTGATCTTCCCGGAGATGAAAAGGAGAGACAGAAGCAGTTGAAGCACCTGCGGGAGTCACTGTATCATACGGGAAACCTCCGCAAAAGTGTGCGGGGTGAGGAAGAAGAAAAGTAGCCATTGGATATATAGCATAGCTGATAGATTTTGATCAATGACATTTGATACCCTTTCTACAGCTGAAGTCATTTTGCATGTGGGTTGGTCTTAATGCGCGGGAAATGTTCCGTCATTCCCGGACAACTTTGTAGCTTAACTTAATATTGACTTGACTTTGGGGATATTTTTCAACTTCCTCCCTTCAACATCCCAACTCCAGCACATTGTTCATGCGATCAACCAGCCATGTCCAACCAATTCGCACCTTTGAAGAACGATCTTCTACTCCGGGCGGCTAGAGGTAAGCCATAAAATACACCACTACCCCGCCATTGACCCCACAGAACAACCGCTTACCCCTCTGTAGGCCAGACCGTCGAGCGGCCGCCCATATGGATTATGAGACAGGGTGCGAACTATCTACAATTCTAACAGGAGTCTACATATCTAACCAGCTCTAACGTTCTCCCTTAGCTGGCCGTTACCTACCCGAATATCATGAGGCCAAAGGAGACAGAGATTTCTTCGAGTGCTGCCGCTCACCAGAAGTTGCATCAACATTGACCCTGCAGCCCATTGAGCGCTATGCAGGGCTCATTGATGCTGCCATCATCTTCTCTGATATCCTCGTCATCCCCCAAGCAATGGGCATGGAAGTCGAGATGATTGATAAGAAGGGTCCTTCATTCCCATCTCCGCTACGGACACCTGAGGACGAGCAGTACACACAGGTCCTGAACCGAACGGTTGATGTGACGACGGAATTGGACTACGTTTATAAGGCTATTACTCTTACAAGGCAGAAGCTGGAAGGCCGGGTGCCCCTTATCGGATTTGTCGGTGCCCCATGGACGCTGTTATGCTACATGGTTGAAGGAGGCGGAAGCAAGATGTTTGCAGCCATCAAGACATGGATATACAAATATCCCGATGCATCGAAGAAATTGCTGCAGAAGATCTCGGAAGTGTGTGTCGAGCATCTCGCGCAGCAGGTCAAGGCTGGAGCACAAATGATTCAAGTATTTGACTCGTGGGCTGGAGAACTTAGTCCACGGTCCTTTGCTGAGTTTTCGCTGCCATACCTACGATATGTCTCTGCCAATCTGCCCAAAAGGCTGCAAGAGATGGGCCTGGAAGTTGTGCCCATGACTGTTTTTGCAAAGGGAGCCTGGTATGCGCTGGACGAACTGTGTGAGTCTGGATATAATGTCGTGGGGCTGGATTGGCAGCATGATGCCGCCAAGGCACGAGCGGTTGCGAATGGACGAGTGGTTCTCCAGGGCAATGCGGACCCGGGATGCCTGTATGGTACAAGGGAAGGGATAACGGCTGTTGTGGAGGAGATGGTGAAGGGTTTCGGAGGCGGGAAGCAAGGTTGGATTGCCAATCTGGGACACGGTACGTACTGCTCATAGCCGCCCTCTCGTTTCCACCGTCACTGGTACTAATGGTTACCCACAGGAGTTACACCCTTTGTCAAGCCGGATGATCTGAAGTTCTACTTTGAGGAGATACATCGACTAACTGCTGCTTAAGAGACTAAATATTAAGTAAGGTGTTATTATTAGTTTGTACATACGGAGTAACCATGGCCTGGCTAAAATAAATGTGAACTCTGCGAGCCTCCAACCATATAATACGCCCCCAACTTCTCCCTCTGCTCTGCACGCACCTCAGGGGCAGCTATCCACTCCCCCCCCCTAAAAGCGTCTGGTGTCTCTACTGTAGAATCTTGCCTTGCTTGTATACACAGATTCTGCCAACCCCCCTCCCCCTTCCCATTCGGGAAAACGCCAAGCCTATTTCATCTTACCTAAGCGCGTGTGACTTTTGCTTCTTTTTCTTCTTCTTTTGGCAAATCTGAACCTCACTTTGTTTTCTTCTTCCTTTTCTTCATCTCTGTCGTCCTCCGGATCTCTCTCAAGCCTCAATTCGCGGCGGCTTTCAAGTGCTGCTTCGGCCTGGTCGCTTTCGGCGCTGCTGAGTCAGGTAGTGGAAGCGCAGAGAAAGCGCTGGAGAGCCGTGGAAGCCTCCAGAACCGCAACGCCACATGCCTAGCAGGGGCGTTGGGTATGGTACGGTAAGCTACTTGATCATCATATTTCGGCGCACTCCCTCCTCTTCTCCCGACATTGCTAACAAGAATATAGCTGCGACACCTGCACTCACGGGAGAGACAACTTCGACGAGCCTATCCCAAAAAAAAGCGTTTCTTCATCCCCTGTATTTCCCGAGATATTCTTTACTGCAGTCTCTTCCAATCTTGAAAAAAGTACTGTGGCTGAACTGGTAGTTACCAACGGAACACTTGACCCACCGCGGGCCTCGCATCCTCTCTGACTTTTTTTTCCCTGCCGCCGTTCATCATCTTCAGCGTCGGCGTCAATAAATCCATCGGTTTAATATACCTTCCACCCTCGCCCTTCCTCCTTTTCGACCCTTCAACTCCTGGGTTTTACTTCCAGAGTCATCACACAACCTCCTTGCTGGTCTGGTTGCCTCCCTTCATCACAACTCCCATCATCAGACCCCCTAGAGAAGCAGCAGCCTCGCTCCTAGCCTACCGCGTAGGAATTCAACTACCCCTCTCAAGTCCACATATTTATTATCTTTTCCGTCTTTCTCCATCTCAGTAGACTCTTCAGCGAGTCAATATGGTGAAAGAAACCAAATATTATGACACCCTAGGGGTATGCCACCATATGCCAACAATAATGTTTAATCAAGAAGAAGCAAAACTGACCTCTCTAGGTTGCTCCAACAGCCACAGAAGCAGAGCTCAAGACCGCCTACAAGAAAGGCGCCTTGAAGCATCACCCAGGTATGTATCTATCCTCTTTCGCCGGGCTTATGTTGGCGCTAACAGACCTGGTTAGATAAAAATGCGCACAACCCTGATGCCGCGGAAAAGTTCAAGGATCTCTCCCACGCCTATGAAATCCTTTCAGATCCCCAAAAACGTGCCCTCTATGACCAGTACGGTGAAGAAGGCCTTGAACAAGGAGGAGGTGGCGGCGGCATGAATGCCGAAGACCTCTTTGCCCAATTCTTCGGCGGCGGCGGCGGCGCTTTCGGCGGTATGTTTGGCGGCGGAATGCGTGAAACCGGACCCAAGAAGGCGCGCACAATTCACCATGTTCACAAAGTCAGCCTCGAAGATATCTACCGTGGAAAAGTCAGCAAACTCGCTCTTCAGAAGTCCGCTATCTGCTCCCAGTGTGATGGACGCGGTGGTAAGGAGGGCGCCGTCAAAACTTGCGGACCCTGCAACGGAACCGGTATGCGTACCATGATGCGCCAAATGGGCCCTATGATCCAGCGCTTCCAAACTGTTTGCCAGGAATGTGGTGGTGAAGGTGAAACTATCCGGGACCGCGACCGCTGCAAGCGCTGTCTCGGAAAGAAGACTGTCCTCGAGCGAAAGGTCCTACATGTACACGTTGACAGAGGTGTCAAGACCGGCCACAAGATCGACTTCCGTGGAGAAGGTGACCAAATGCCAGATGCCTTGCCCGGAGATGTTCAATTCGAAATTGAACAGAAGCCACACCCCCGATTCCAGCGCAAGGATGATGACCTGTTCTACCAGGCTAATATTGACCTTCTCACTGCATTGGCTGGTGGTACTATTAACATTGAACATCTCGATGAACGATGGCTCAGTGTGACCATTGCTCCAGGCGAGCCAATTACACCAGGTATGTCCCGTTCCCATTATAATATATTCCTTCCTGACATCTAATACTAACCTGTTTTGTTCCTGTCAACAGGTCAAATCAAAGTGATTTCCGGCCAAGGAATGCCGTCTTACCGCCATCATGACTTCGGAAACCTCTATATCCAATTTAACGTCCAGTTCCCAGAGAAGGACCAGCTACAGAACCTCGAGCTACTCGAGAAAGTTCTACCACCACGTATGACCCAGGAAATGCCACCACCAGACAGCATGGTAGAAGACTTTGCCTTGGAGAATGTCGACAGCAACGGCGGCCAGGCCAGAGCCCAAGGAGCGGCCAGAGGAGACGACGATGAAGAAGACGGCATACCGCCTGGTGCGGAGAGAATGCAGTGCGCATCCCAGTAAGCAGAACAAATGAAATTTCAGGCGATGCCCATGCTTGGTGGTGCCATGAGGTGTGATGGTGGAGTGTGCGATGATGCGTTGAATGATAACGAACTGAGAAACAAAAAAAGAGATATCAAATGTGGTCGGTGGTCGGGAAACTTATAATTTCATGCATTCGATCGGCGAATTATTTTTTTTTTACTTCCTATTTCTCTTCCTCTTCTATGTTTCTTGCGACGACTTCCCTGATCCATTTTCTATTTCGTTGCTTTCACGTCCTCATCGAAGTCTAATTCAACCCCTTTTGCTTTGTGCTTTTATTATTCTTGTTCTGTTTGTGTGCTCGAAATAGAACGAATCCATTTTTTCTTCATGATTTTACTACCGATCCTGTCTTTCGTCTTTCGTCTTTCGTCTTTCGTCTGTCACTGATGCTCTTGTGTCTCTCTAAGCATAGTGTGAACTACTTTTCTACAATATTTGTAGCGGGGAGAAGATAGAAGATAGGTGGTATGTTATGCCCAATCTGAACAGCACATATGTGTTGCCGTCTACTTCCTTAGTTGCTCGATTGGTGTTAATTATTGTCTTAAGTGCGTACTCTATACATATAATTCTTTGGTGATTAATCCCTCTACGACCTATCTAACCAATCTCAGCGTACGGAGTATGGCACTATCATATAGTTCATTGTAGAAAAGACTCTAGTGAGCTGGTTATGCTAATGTTTGACCCTTACAGGAATGGTAACGGACGCTAGATAGCCTAAAGTAGATATGCGTGTTAACGCAGACTCTAAACTAGAGAAGAATCACCCCGTCTGGTTGGTATAAGCACAATAGAACAGAACACTATTGTTACTGACTGCTCGGAAGGGAATACGCCTCCTGGATCTTAACGTTTCGAGCAGGGACACGGATAGATAGGTTTGGTGACCCAAGACCTATCTACCCTTGGCCAAAAAGCAGCATAGGGGGAATGCCTCAGTGAGGAGCAGGCAGTTGATATTCCTATCTGCCGGTGGGATTTGAGGGGAATGCGATTAGAAATCGCAAGTGGAAGATGAAGGGAGCAAGTTTCCGATGATAGTCCCGATACATAAACAACCACGGAAGCTGGCTGAACCAGCGTTGATGGAATAGGATATTGATGAGCGCCCAGGAATTTATTTCTTCTCAAATATGAGGCCATAGTTCCCTGGTTGTTGGACAGGTCATCTCAAAGGTATAGATTAAACGGAGAGTCTCTCGCCGTTCGATCGGGTCAGCAAATGGTTTGAACACGAATTACCGGGACCATAGGGTCCTGCTCGTCCACCTGCTGTTTCTGGATCAAGTGTTGATGCTTTTCCTCGCCAACACCAGTCGTGCTAAGATTGGAAACTGATCAGGCCACGCCGTCGAGATCACAACTACACACCGACAGCCTTACCGTGTAGGTATCCATTCGCAAGGCGCACATCACTACGTCTGCGAGGAGGACAGAGCTACGAGTCTCATGGAGATTCTCGTGGAGGTTGTGGCGGACGTTGAGTTTGCAAAATTCGCTACTTGCGGTAGTGATAGCTATATACCCAGGCGGGAACATATCCGGAAAACAACATATACTTGTGGGGTAGAAGGGGGTAAGGTAGTCAGAACATTATTATATTGTTGTAATAATAAATTCTGCCTACCTTCTTGCTCGTGTTTCGCTTCTTAGCTTCCGGATGTCCGCTTCCATGGGCAAGTTGGGTCATTCATAATAATGGCACCTGCAATATACACACCTAGTGCGTTCACGTCATTTTGGGCCTATGGGAATGAGAGACCGGGATTTTCTCATGCACGTTGCTTGATCGTCATTCAAAAGGCTATGGGGGTATCTTAACCCGTGGGATATTTGGGTGACGAGGACTGTGGAGTTCTTCGATATGTGCCTGTGTCCTGCCCGGGCGGCAGTGCCTCTGTAGTCGTGAGCGGGTGGGTTGTCTTGTCAAGACAAAGAAGCAACGAAAACAATCAAAACAAACTCAGGGCCAAGGAACATATGGCGGCACCAGAGATGCCTAAGTCAATATCAGGGTTTAGGCCAAGGGTCGGGCGGCATTCTAAACATGGTTGTCTAATTCGTGGGGTATGAAGCAGGGCAGGGGATGATTCCAAGACGCTGCCAGTCCGTTTCTCGTCCTCATGCCATGCGACATCATCAGGAATAACAGCAGACGGGAAAATATCCTACCACCATGACGATCGTCTAGTACGAACCTCATCGAGTAAAGAGCTGTCGGTGCTTGCGATGGTATTTGAGCTCTGGGACTGTTTATCACGCGGGCGAGGTCGATCAGATATAATTTTGGGATGCGCCAGGTAGTCCACAAACCTCTTCGGAGATGGATGGGACGCTGCGGCCAATAGGAACCACGGCACCTTCTTCCCCCCCAGTCTATATACGTTAAAGGCTGTATTGGTATACATCAGTATATTGACTGTAGGTGCAGATAAACAGGGCAGGAGACGAGGTCAGTCCCACTGGCTTTACAGTGTACTCCGTAGCTGGTGTTAAATATCCAGAAGGCAGAATGCTCCTGGCGTCTAGAAAGAGAGAGAGAGAGAGAGACAAGCTCATCCAAGAAAGCGATAGCTGACGCCCTCCCTGTGGCTTGCTTCGACAAGACAAGCCTGACTCGTCCACCGACATTTCCAAGACGGCCTCGAGTTAGTTGTTCTCTGGGGAAAGAAACAGCCAAGGTCGCTTATCGAGGCCAAGATGAAGCTTCTCCGAACAAGATACATTATTTTGGCAGCGCGCGGCATTAGCCTATGGCAAAAGTCCAAAAAAAAAAAAAAGATAGTTGAAAGGGGGAAGTGACAGTTCCTGTGCCAAGGGGATGGGAAGTCGTTTCTTCTTCGCGAGCAACTTTCGAGCTTCCAAGCTGTGTTGTGTCTTCCGTGTGGCCCTTTGAGCAGCAAGCCCACAAGCCACATAGTTATCAGTCAAAAAGCAACTGTGCGACTTTCTTCTTCTTTCCCCAGAGAAATGAATGCAGCGATTCCATCCAGCACGTGAATTCTGCATAACAACGCAAGCTGGTGCGACTCTTTGATAGGCGGGTGGTTTTCCCCGAGGAAAACACTAAATATAGGCCCGTATTATTGAAATAGAGTCGGCCCAGCAAAAGGAATCCTCTCTGTCCAAGAGATGTTGCACATCTCCTCCAAAACCAAGATTGGGTTTAGTGGAAGAAAAAGCAAGGTGAGCCTGCTGGCAACAAGACGACCGATGGAAGGAGTCGCAGGAAGCAGAGAAGTACTCCGTACAGTGCTCCGAGATGGCTGGCGTCACCCTCGCCCTCGGAAGACCTGCGAGATGTCTTGCTCTCAGCAGGTAACTGACTGGGCCGTGTGACATCCCTCTCGACAACTAGTTACCTGCTGGAGGGGCATCAAACGTAGATATAAATACTCCGTACTCCGTAGTTACAGAGGTACAACTGTAATCAGAAGGGCGTTGCTATCGTTGCTATCGTTGCTGTCAGGGGGGTCAGCCGCACCCCCCTGTCTGAAGGAACAAGAGCTCATTACGTACGTCTTTTCCATATCTCAGCGCGGCCGCCTGGTTAATACTCTCGTAACTATTCCCGTACCTTAGTTAACAGTACCGGCAGAGCAATAGAGTTTTCGGCAGATTTAGGTTTGCCCGTGGCAGTTGCTTGGGCTTCCACAGCGAGCCGGCGATCATATATCGTGGGCGATGGAAGTTGTCTTAACTCCGGGGGAGAGAGCAAGCAGGGCATGGGGAAGAATAATGATAATGACGGCCGGAGGACGCAAAACGCCCCGAGGAGCAGGAGTTCCGAAGCCATCCCGGAGATAGTCGATGCTGCTCTTCTCTGGGCAGCCCGCCACTAAACAGCAGAGAAGGACATGGCGGTCGGCGGCTTTGCTGTCGTAAGTAAGTAGATCTGCCCAGAAAGGGCTATGGTAGGCATGGACGGGTGGCACGCATTGCTCGTTTATCAATACGATAGGCCCGACCTCTGCGGGCGTTGGAAGACCGCAAGGAGATCGACTGCTCGGGCGAAGCGCAAACCGTCCAAACACACAACAAACAAATATGCTGCACAACGAATATCAGTTCACCGATATTTTTTTGTTTTGTTATAGAGCAGGGCACATGGCGGCACCTCCTTTTTCTTCTGTGATCTGTTCACATTGCCATTGCAAATATGGCCTCAACGTAAGCCGGAATATTGCATCGACCTTCTTTTTACATGCAAGCGCACAAGCTGCACGTCCAGCACAACATCCTTCTTGAAAAAAAAAAAAGGACTTCTAACGTCCAATCTTCGAGGCAACAACCGAAAGCAGAAAAAGTAAATAATGCAAAAATATGTAATACGAGGACCAGATCGATGCTTTTGATGCCTCATTCATTCTCGGAAAATTCACGAGTAAATATTGCACTATCAAGCGAACACTTCATGACTGTCGCCAGGAATCGATTTTGTTTTTTTTTTTTTGTTAAACCATTTAGCGAAGAATCAGCAGACGACGAAGTTTAGCTGTCTGGACGGCTAGTAAATTGCACGGGGGCAGGGCGAAATGCATGAAATTGTTTGCTCAATATGACAGAGAAACAATCATAAATGCGATGTTGGTGAGATATGAGATATCCAGGGGGGGGGCCAGGAAAAAAGCATGCCATATTAGGCTGAGACAACAGATTGCAGCCCTCAGTTGCAGCCCTCAGTGCAACATTCATCGCGCATACAAGCAGGTTATTCTTCTTCTTCAAGAAAGTAGACACGCCTGGTGTGATGCGAGGATATGATGACTTGCTTTACAGTCAAGCGCAGTACAGGAGGATGAACGAACAGGACGTGTTCGCATCCGCTTCCTCCCGTCTCATCCAGTTGTCCGTCCGGGCCTCGGTCTCAGCCCATGTATCCTAGAATAGTCTCTCCGTGTTCCAGGCATATCAGGGCCGTCGGGCCTGATATACTCAAGTAATAATAATATCAGCGTTGCATGGGAGATATTATTAAGTTAGGCTAATACATATATAGCTGGAAGAAGCCCACTCATGGGATCTGGTCCACCTGTGTCAGAAAGACATTCGCTTGGCCGGGCGCAGATCGTGCCTTGTCAGACTGGCTCTGCTTGCGACGGAGTATCCAGATTAGAAGAGAAAAAGCAAAGAGAGCTTCCGGTGTGCAAAATTCTAGAACAAGTTATCATCGCACGTTGAGAGAGGGATGGGGTGCCTGGCGAGACCAGATATTTGCCGGACATTATAGCTGCAAGGTCGAATAAAATTAGTCAATTTCCCTTTGATGTCGAGGTAACTTATTGCACTGCGGCGGTGTTACAGCGCTACTGGATGCATTTTTGGTTGTCTAGAACATTGTTTCGTACCACTTGTCTGCCCCCTTTTATCGTTGCTGCAATGTCGCTCCTCTGGTCACGATTTAAGGTGTAAAGATAGATTTCGATTAGGGCTGGTTGGCCCAAACATAGACTATTTTTTCTCGTGCAGAGTATTAAACTGGCGCCAGGGTTGCAAGACGTATTCGGGACGACCGTGGCCCGGATTATACGAGTGTTCGAACCATTCCCACCGCGGCGTTTTACATCTCGTTTCAACCGACTCCTTGGTCCATTATTCATTATTTTATCTGCTGTTGGGTGATCACCGCCTCAGTTAACTGTTCCGGAACATTTATCGATAGCTTCTTTCCCTATTATTATCGTCCAGCGAGTTCGACTGCTGCATGTCAGTTACGCAGGATGATTCTAAATCACGGCGTTGTTATCCGCATGAGCCTATTCTGACTCCATGCGGTCAGGGTAGTTTCCATCTTCTGTGACACTTTCGAGCAGGCACCAGCAGATATTTAGGTAGTGGCAACCTGATATAGGGGTTCACCATGCCCTTATCCTGTGCCCCCGCCCCCTCTATAGCACATACACTCTTTGGTCTATAGATTTCGGGCTTGGTACTCCGTACTTGGGGATCACTTTCTTAGGGATCTGGAAGGCGCCTCAAGGCCCTGTGAGTGGCAAGCCAGGGCTTGGTTTAGCAATCAATACTGGGATAGCGATGTCGCATGGCGATACGAAGATATTTGGTGGGACCATATGAATCACGATACAGCAGAAGTGTGCATCAATGCACGACTATAGAGTGCCGAGATGGCCATGGATGCCTTTGATCCAAGAATTGATTCCAAGTCATGCTGTAGCCGCAGCTGTATTTTCCCGAGAGATGAATTGTCAAACAACCTAGTTACTCCGTTCTATCCGATGACTCCTGTTGAAAAAATGTGAAATGGGTCCCGATATCTGAATATCACCCAAGAAGAGGGAGAGGGATCTTCTCTTGATGAAGGGTTCTCCATGAGCCTACGTTCCAGACAGGCATTTGAAGGGCTGATGATGTGGAGAAAAGGAGGGTGAGATTCACGTTCCGCTGATGGGAGAGCGATGAACCGATGATGAACCATGATTGAACCAGATCTTCTTCAAGGACGCTGGCCAACAAGATGATTTCTATGAACTCCCCCAAGGCAACCCGGTTATACCGTTCTCAGTACTCCGTAGGCGGCCACTATCGGACGGCCTTGAGTGCGACACCGTTGCGCAGTGCATCAATATTCGGGCCTGAATGCTGCATTTCCTTGTTGTACAAGAGGGAATTCAAGCATTTTATGCTTTCAATCAATCCTGGGCGTCGATGATAACCGGTCAAGGGGCCAGGGGTGGACATTTCCATCTATCCAAAAAAATCTTGTCTTTGATCCCTGAGTGTTGCCAAGGTAGTTACTCGTGTTGAGTATTCTTTCGTGTTTTCTTGAGTCGAACGAGGGTGGTGTTGACAGCATGTCACTCTGTACAGATATGTCGGCAGTTGTTTCAAAACGGGAAGATACGATACGGCATTTGTGACAGAACCTCCCTTGTAGAAAATCCCTGTCTGCCATGGGCGAAAGAGTACCAAACGCCGGGGTAGGGGTTCGTGTTGTGGAGATCACGTTTCTTGTTCCTCTTATCTCGGCCATCAGCCGTGCAAAATATATGCTGGCTGAATAATTTTTGGATGGAACCGTTCCCTTTCAATAACTAGCGAACGAACTGTCCGGGCCAGAGGATGACCGGTCAAGCTATGGTCAGTCAATGACCGCCGAGCTGATCAGACAGGGAACCCCGATCAGACAACTTTTCGTGAGTTAAGTAATGGCAACTCTGGCAATTAATTCCAGACAGCGCAAAACGCGGCCTGGTGACCGAGCAGGATGCCTTTCTCCTGCCCAACATGCCAACTGCCGACTGCCAGCCCAGGCTTAGGCCTGCGCAGAACCGGCGAGGCACTCACTCCCTTTGACTGTGTAGCTTTAAGCAGCAGCAGGATGGCTTGGATATGCTTAACCAATTCGTCGTGTGAGACTGTGGCGGCGGCGCCGCTTGATTCTCGATTGGTGTGGGTGTCAGCAGAGAGATGACAAGAATGTTGACACAGCAAGTTAACTAAAGCACAAACGCCTCCCTTTTTGGCGAGAAAGGTGACCAGGGCAATAACTAAAGCCAGGTTCTGCAGCCCGCCAGCTCCGTTTGCTCGCTTCGTCGTCATCTTTTCTTCTTCTGCTTCTTCTTCTTCCTCCTCCTCTCTCCATCCTCGGTCTCCAGGGAATCCAGGTCACATGATAACCCGCTCGTTGATGCCGACTGCTGGCCGATGTGGCCGTATATACCGTGTAAAGTGCAACGTGATGGTGGTGTTTCGGTCCGCTAGGGAAGGGAAATGTTGGCGTATCGTGAAACGGCCGGGTCGACCCTGATCTGCCTCTCCCTGGCCTTTTTCTTGCAACCTTTCTAACCGCTAGTACGACAGCCAGACAGCTTAGCGCATTAGCCTCGTTGCAAGACCCCTGCTTGCTCCAGGATTCTCCATATATTAGTTATCACTTGTCTGCATAAAAGCAAAAAGCAATATGGGCCCCCCGAGAGGGAAAAAATAGGAATACGGAGCAGTCCCCCCCATAACCGCGCCAAGGACTCCTTTCTAAGCCCTGCAAATTCTTATCTCGAAACCCCCTGTTGAGATCTGCCCTGTCTGAGTTGTTGTTGTTGTCTTGGAGTATCATTTCAGCCCATCCCATACACGAGGTTGCCACAAGGTTGCGAAACATCGCTATATTTGTCGAACCGCACTGTAGCAGTAAGTTGTCCGCATACTTTCTCCGGAGAGCTGAAAATTAGTCATGTGTGTCAGGAAATTCTCGACAAGTTGCTCTGAGCTGATCGAAGCCAGTATTATTATATCTGCTGTCCATGTACGGAGTATCCATCCATCCATCCATCCATCCAGACACCCCCGTTGCTACGTGACCAGCACGAAGGTTAGCGACCTCACGCATCATCTGTACGATGTCGTAATAGCTGGCGGATGAGCTCGTACGGGGTCGGGGAAAGTGGCTGTCAAACCCCATCTCTCTCGCCTGAGATGTTTCTTTTCTTTTGCCCTTTCTTCTTTGGCATCTTTCTCTCTCCATTTCTGCAGACCGCCCATACCACTGGGAGGTCTGATCGTATAGTTATCCTCATCGTATTGAGTGGATCCCTCACCAGCATCACTGGTCTCCTCCCCTTGAAGAGGACTGACTGACTGGATCGGGGCCATGGGAGAGATTCGCCTCTCGGGCCTTGCTTGACTCAAAACAGGCCGTATATATATACTTTGGATACACGGGGGTTGGAGAAGGAAGGGAAAAGAGGCTCGCAGGCCCTGCCACACGTAGAACAGCAAAAGAAGCTTGTCGAATCCGGTATGATGCCATCCTCTGGCGCCTTGGGAGAGCTTGAGTTCATCCTATAAGCTGCGTTGACTTAACCTTCCTTGGCGTACAACACTGGCTGATAATCTTCGTTTGAACAAGATATCGACCAGAGGCTTGATATCGAGTAGCATTTCTTAGCTCTCACTGCCTTGTGGGCGTCGACGAGACGAACTGCCCACTCGGCGCCTATATCTGGGCGATATCAAGCTCTTTTTAGGGGGAACATCGAACGTTATGAAAATGCTTGGTTGCGATCAGCCTCCAGACTCTCCAGGCATCGATTTCTCACCCCCAGAACCGTTGGAAGGACAGGCAAACTACCTTCGTGTTCAGATTTTTGCTTTTTTGCTGCCTCTGCTTTCCATTTTTATTTTCTTCTTTCTTCAGCTTCACCACCCTGCGACTGCTCCAGTCCTTTTTGGTAAGAGACAGTCTCCCTGTATCCATCCATCCTTGTAGCGGTTATGGCTGGAAATTAAGCTTGTTGCCTATCCCTCCGGCCTAGGACGGCATGTACTAGTAATAGATTTTTGCAGATGCTTAGTGACCCCCCCCTCCTCCACTTAGTCTCATTCTTCCTATTTTTGCAGTTTGAGGGAAACAACAGGTGCAGCTGTGTGATCCACCATCCTGATGGCTGCGGCGACACTTTCTTCTCCCTGACGCCCTCGCCTGGAAGCCTTCGACCATGTTTCGCTGTACGGTCAAAGGCGGAAACTGTGGACTGTCTCCCTGGGTTTCCGTGGCCCATGGTTCTCCACTCCCTTGCACTGTCCTGTCTGGCCCGTTTCCCATTGATTGCGTGACTTCCCGCCAGTCGCAGGAGGTACATGCTCCGCCAGGAAAACCTCGTTCTTATCGATCTATAACTTAAATTCACTTCTCAGGTCGAAAGGCCGTAGCAGGAAGTTCATAAATATGGTCCAGTCCTCCACTGTCTCGATCCTCCTCTAGGCTCCCTTCTCCCCCCCTTTCTTTCTCCTTTTCCATTCTCACACCTCTTCTTCTCTTCCTTCATTAGCGAGCTGGTGGGTTGCAGTCCTTCCAAAGGGATTCGACCAGAGGAACAGTGCCTGCCTTCCCCAGGGCCATTTTCAGTTGTTGGAATAGCATCTTGTATCAGACTGATAATGGGTACTCGCTAGACCTCTCGCCTTTCCAAGAAGATCCTGTTGATCATTGAGCCCGGTAGCTCTACCTCCTCGCCTTTCACGAAACCAGAGCATTCAATATCGTCCTTGCATTGAGACGCTCTCCTTCGGAACGTTAACCGCTTTGGCTCTTCCTATCCTCTCAAGAAACCACTCCGGGGAAAACGAGGTAGCAGGATAAATACATCTAGCTGCAGGTCCAGCTTCTGTTTAGTATAACATCTTGTTTCACCGATCAATAGTTGCTTCACACAATGGCGTCTTCCGAGTCTCCCGAGAACCAGACGAAGATGCAGAAGTTGGGTGCCGGCCTCAAGAAGGTCCTTGGCCTCAAGGACGAATACCCTGCTCCCACAGACCCCGTGACCCGGGGAGAGTCGACCTTCTCTGTGCAGTCGGCAGAGATGTACTTCGACCAGGACCCGACGACGATGGAGTACTTCCGCGAGCTCACTCCCAGCGGCGAGGATGTGGTCAGGTACCTGACCAGTCTGTTTCCGTTCCTTAACTGGATCAGCAGATATAACCTCCAATGGTTGGTCGGTGATCTTGTTGCCGGTAAGTGCTCAAATAAGGATCCCTATCAATGTCTATGCATCGCTAATAAACGACCATAGGCTTGACTGTCGGTGTCGTCGTCGTTCCTCAGGGTATGGCCTATGCTAAACTCGCTCAGCTTCCTGTACAGTTTGGCCTGTATTCCTCCTTCATGGGTCCCTTGCTCTACTGGCTCTTTGCTACTTCCAAGGATATCGCTATTGGTGTATGTATATCCAGGCATGATATGTTTTTTCTAGTCGGAAACTGACGAACTATATAGCCTGTTGCCGTTGTCTCGACCCTGGTTGGCCATATCATCGACAAGGCAAAGGTTGAACATCCCGATGTTCCCCCAGAGGTCGTTGCGTCCGCCATTGGTATTGTCGCTGGTGGTATCATTGCCTTTATTGGTTTGATCCGGTGCGGCTGGATCGTTGACTTCATTCCACTCACGGCCATCTCTGCTTTCATGACTGGGTCCGCTCTTAGCATTGCTTCTGGCCAAGTACCATCCCTGCTCGGGCTTAGTGGCTTCAACACCCGAGGCACTACCTATGAAGTCATCATTGGTTCTCTCAAGCATTTGCCGAGTGCTAAGATCGACGCTGCTATGGGACTCACTGCCCTTTTCCTCCTTTACTTTATTCGATCGGGGTGCGCCTACATGGCCAAGCGTCATCCTTCTAAGGCGAAGGTCTACTTCTTTGCTTCTACGCTGCGCGCAGTCTTCGTCATCCTTCTCTACACCTTCGTCAGCTTCTTGGTTAACCGAAACCACCGAATGAAGCCAATTTTCAAGATCTTGGGCGTTGTTCCACGAGGTAAGTAACAATTAGGACGGAGATGTTCAAAGCTATTATAATACTAACATGACTGATAGGCTTCCAAAATGCTGGTGTCCCTGTCCTTAACTCACGCGTTCTGAGCACATTCTCTGGTGAAATCCCAGCTTCCGTCATTGTCTTGTTGCTTGAGCACATTGCTATCTCCAAGTCCTTCGGTCGTATTAATAACTACACCATTAACCCCTCCCAAGAACTCGTCGCCATTGGTGCCAGTAATATGCTTGGTCCATTCCTCGGAGGATACCCGGCTACTGGTTCTTTCTCCCGTACTGCTATTGCCTCTAAGGCTGGAATTAGAACTCCGTTTGGCGGTGTTTTCACTGCTATGGTTGTTCTCCTAGCTATTTATGCCCTCCCAGCCGTTTTCTTCTATATCCCCAACTCCTCCCTCTCCGCCGTTATCATCCACGCTGTTGGCGATCTAATTACTCCTCCAAACGTTGTCTACCAGTTCTGGAAAGTCTCTCCGCTTGAGGTTATTGTCTTCCTTCTTGGTGTCTTCGTTTCTGTTTTCTCCACCATCGAGAATGGTATCTATGCTACCGTTGCTTTCTCCTTGGCTATTCTCCTGTTCCGTCTTGTTAAGGCGAAGGGTGAATTCCTTGGACGTGTCAAGGTCAACTCCGTCCTCGGCGACCATGTCCTGGATAACGACGGAAAGTATGGCACTTTTGATGACAACTCGGGTATCCCTGGAGGATCAAGCAGTCGCAACATCTTCCTTCCTCTCAGCCACCGCGATGGTTCTAACCCCGATGTTCAGGTTGAACATGCTTTGCCTGGTATCTTCATTTACAAGTTCTCTGAAGGATTCAATTACCCTAATTCCAACGGTTATCTTGATGATTTCGTCGCTCATATCTTGGCCAAGACTCGTCGCACTAACCAGAATGCATATGAGCGTATGGGTGACAGACCATGGAATAACCCTGGACCCAAGCGCGGCGAGACCGAGGCTTCAACTGCCGATCTGCCAACCCTCAAAGCTGTCATAATGGACTTCTCCTCAGTTAACAATGTCGATGTCACCTCTGTACAGAACTTGGTCGATGTTAGAGAGCAGCTCGACCGACATGCCGCCCCAGATGTTGTCCAGTGGCACTTTGCCCACGTCAACAACAGATGGACTAAACGTGCTCTTGCTGCTGCTGGTTTCGGTTACCCCACATCCCCTGCAGGAGCTGAGATCGCAGCTCCACGCTGGAAACCAGTCTTCAGCGTTGCCAGCATCGATGGATCCAACAGCTCCACTGGCTCACTTGAATTGGACCCCAAGCACACCAGTAGGATCCATGACGAAGAGATTGGAACCATCACGCCAGCCTCGCAAGCACCCACCGAACAGGTGGAGATATGCAAGGATGGCGTTTACCACAAGGAAATTGAGAAAGTCAGCGGCTCTCGAGGTGCTGTTGTGAACAGCATGAACCGCCCTATGTTCCACGTCGACCTAACCAGCGCTCTTCAAAGTGCTACCGCTAATGCCCTGCAATGATACCAATTTGCTGCATAAAAGTCTTCACACGAATACGTTGATAGAGTTTCGTGTTTGAACGACATTTCGTGCCCTGTTTCTGCTTCTTTTTGTCTATATTACATATACTCTCTTGTCGCTTTGTGGGTTCTTTTCCCTCTGATTTTGGATTAGATACTTTTTTTTTCTGTGTTTTATTTGTCTGGAAATACCTCTCAGCGATTACATGAGGATTTTGGAGTTAGCCTGGTGCCTTCGAGGCCACTTAATTTAGCCTCGACTCCCCTACTTATATATAATGTGGGGCACGAAATATATATATCTATTATATATTATACATACTTTTACTTCATTTATCATTAATTCATTGAACTGTTGCTTATTGGGGAGTAACCATTTGATTCTCGAGATCTCCCCCCCACCCCCCTTCTTGAGCGAAGGTGCTCTCTATTCTCGCCTATCTCGTTTTCTTGTTGCCCTAAATGAGGCTCAGCTGCAGCCCCAATACGAGTGTTTTCCCGTTTTAGGCTAGCGAAAAAGCTTAAATCAGCTTTGCCCCTGGCACATGGTCCGAGCTTCCTGCTGACTTCGCAGTGATTGCCAGAAGAAGTTAGTTTCATTGTGAATTAGTCAGCACGCTGCTCTTCTGTCTGGGCTGTGCAGATATAAACCCTTTACCGTTTTTGGTAGGAGTTGCGACCACTCGGGGTTTCAACTTCAACAGCAAGCTTCTCTTGATATTATGTTTCAAAAATAGAGAAGCAACTAGCTAGATGGGCCCCATGGCTCTCTTAGCTGTGACAGTAATGTTTCTGCCTGATGCCTCATTTTACCAACGAAGTACCAACACGTTAATCCCAGCTGACCGTGCTATTGACTGCCTACTTCCTAAGATGGCTCACCTTAGCAAGACAAACCCACAAGGCGAGTATGTCTGCTTGCGATGGCTCATGGGTACCACATTGTTTCGCCTTGCAGATGAAGGGTACGGTCGTCACCCAAACGGTTGGTTGTGACCTGTCTGCGGCCAGTGGCTGTACATACAAGGATACTCGTATCCACACCTGCGCACCAAGCTTTTTTAGGACCTTCAAGGGAATTTGATGGAGCTATCTCGTTAT